TTCGTTCGGCCTAGCACTCTCTCCCCGCACATTCACCAAATGCATGGATGCAGCTCTGGCCCCGTTGTGGCTCCAGGGCATCCGCATACTGAACTACATCGACGACTGGCTCGTCCTGGCCCAGTCTCGAGAGTTAGCAGTTTGGCATCGAGATGTCGTCCTCGCCCACCTTCAGCGTTTGGGGCTGCGGCTCAACACGAAGAAGAGTGTGCTGATGCCCGCCCAACGGACTACGTTCCTAGGGGTGGTATGGGACTCAACGACGATGCGGGCCCACCTGTCTCCCGCACGCATCGAGTCCATTTTGTCCACAGTGACCAGAGTGCAGTTAGGCCGCGCCATCACTGTAAAACACTTTCAGAGGGTGTTGGGTCTCCTGGCAGCAGCGTCCAGTATAATACCTTCCGGGCTACTGCACATGAGAGCCCTGCAGTGGTGGCTAAAATCCAAGGGATTCTCCCCGAGGGGAAATCCGCTCCGTCTGATACGGGTTACGAGCGGGTGCCTTCGTTCCCTGTCTGTATGGAGGAAATCTTGGTTCCTGTCCCAAGGTCCAGTGTTGGGAACGATCTGTCGCCGAACAATTATTTCAACAGACGCCTCACTCACGGAATGGGGCGCGGTCATGGACGGCCGCTTCGTGAGAAGCTCCTGGGAGGAGCATCAATTCTCTTGGCACATAAATTGCCTGGAAATGTTGGCGGTTTTCAGAGCTCTGAGGAGTTTTCTGCCCGCCCTCCGCGGTCGCCACATCCTTGTCATAACCGACAATACGGCAGTGGTGGCCTATTTGAATCACCAGGGGGGTCTGCGCTCGCACCCGTTATGCAAACTGGCACATCAGATCCTCCTGTGGTCCCAGCAGAGTCTGCTGTCCCTCAGAGCGATGTACGTCCCTGGGACCCAGAATCAAGGAGCAGACCTGCTGTCGAGACAGGGGCTGAGGCCCGGGGAATGGAGACTCCACCCCGGGGTGGTGGAGTTATTATGCGAAGAGTTCGGCCCCATAGACGTGGACTTGTTTGCACTGTCCATCCACTCTACTTTAGGTTTTGGAGAAACACCAGAAATGTCACAGTGCAGGAATGCCGAATTCCTTGATGCATTTATTGTGATGTCTGGCTTTGGAGCTGCACCTTGTTTAAACAGCGACTTAAGAACAATTACAGGGTTGGTAATACTGAAATGTTGTTGTTCACTACTCTCTACTTGTATATGAGCATATTTAAATGGGAACAGAAATAAAAAAGCACAACATAAGCCTTACTTACACCCATCAGCTTTGTTTGATATAGATCATATTTCACCATTAGAAAAGCACTTATAAATAATATAGTCCATTAAATTCCTGCTCAGTATGAAATTAAATCATGTGCAATTTGTTGTTTTTCTACTATTAATTTAACGTAATGTGAAAATTATGTTGTAGTAAAACATAGGGTCTAAAAGAATGTGCACTTCTTCTGCAGTTAGATTGATTGTTACAGAGTGGTTTATTGTATGGTGATAATACATTGTACATATTTCACCAGCATCTATTGGTGCCAGCCTCCGCCGACCTACCACCTGTCCGCGTCCACAATAAATCACAACAATTTAAGTGGACTCTTCTAGTGTTTCATTGTGCCTTTCCGCATTTACATAATTGTTAATTGTTAATCATAGTACCTGGTAATCAGCATACTCCTCAGGCAGTTCTGATTAGCAAATATTTTACAGTGTGTTAAAGAGAAAGAAAACAGGAGCAGAGAGAAACCGAAGCTCAGTGTAAGCCTTAATAACTACCAACAACATTTCTGATAGTTGTTACAGCAGGACATATTTTGTTGCTTTTGATATATGATCAGTGTGAGTGAAAAGGCTTCACATGTGACAGATGTGCTGAAGAACCACATAGAAGAATGATCTCAATCTGTTCCACACAGCGATTCAAAGTGTTTTTGACTCACAGCACGTCAGAGGTAGAGAGTGACATTATCAAAATCATATCCTGCGGAAGCTAAGTTCTTTTAATGTTTCCCAGAGTATCTTATGGTTTAATGGATTGTCTGTGAAGGACAAGAATAGCCTCAGCAGTTAATATCTACTCCAAAATTATTGGAGTTCAGCTGACAGACCTGAGCTCCCTATAGAAAAAACGGGTGGTCCAGAAGGCTAGACAGGTCATCACAGTCACATTCTTAGTCAGGAATTTTATTTTTGCCCTCTGGACAGCGTTACCTCACCCCCCAAAGAAAAAATAATTCGTCTGGCCTTCTTTTATTCCTTCTGCCATCAAGCTTTTAAATATTGCTGATGATGAAAACTAGACATGGGCCTAGCATTGTAAACCTCTGTATTTATTGTGACTGGAGTATTTGCTGCTTTGCTCTGGTGCCCAAATTCTTATATGTTGTCACTGACAGGGCTTCTACATGTTTGATTAATTGTAGTTTTTGTCTTGTTTTTTACAACTGGCGGACAAAAAAGGGATTCTTCTATGGGGATCAATAAATTTTACTGAACTGAAACTACTTGAATTGAATTGAATATCAGGACTCACCTGTTTTCACATGATCTGTCCTTTGAGACACGATCTAAAAGGCAAAACAAAACACATGTTAGAGTGCTTGTGAAATATTATAAACTTGGCAGACAGGTGATACTGCGGAAAACAGTCTGAAATGTGTTTCCCTGTTTCTTGAACAGAATTCAGACGGCTGAAATGTCATTGTGCAGAGTAACCTCGTCGACAATGTGTAAACATGAAGCCTGTCTGATAGAGAGGTAATCTCTCCAGATGTGGCTGCAGCTCTGTGGGGACGAGGCCCTGCCAGATGTTTATTCTGACTACTTGACAAAAGTCCATCTGAGACTCTTAAACCAGTCACATCAGTCAATGAGCGGCCATCTTCAACTGTTTAATGAAAACACTCACCAACAACAAGCTGAATGTGGAATATTTGTCTTGGCTGCAGCTGTGGAAAGTCACAGGTGTAGTTTCCACTGTCAGCCACCTTCCTATTTCTGATGATTATAGAGGCGTTGCCGTACTTCATCTTCAAAATGTGAGACGCGACCTTTGAACTGCTCATCTTGACCTTGACGGCCGTTATTGTAATGAAAGCCTGCATCAAACATGAAAACCTCCTTCTGACCGTCTTTCTTCCAGTCAAAGAGCTTGTACATAATGTTCTGCTAGGTGCTGAGGGAACAGGGTAAAATAACATCATTGTCTCTTGTTTAAAAAACAACTGTAGTAAAATATTGATCATGTTAGAATCGGGCCAACACAGTAAAATCACTTTAGTTTCTTTTCTCAGAGTTTGAACAGACAGAAACATCAAAAACAGCCAAAACATACGGTTTGACATTTTTAATGTTTTATTCAAACGTTTGGATAGAAGTGATTCAGCTCTGCAGGAAATGACACGATACAAGTTCATCATCAGTTAGAAAAATCAACATACAGGAAATTAATTAAATATCAGTCAGCAACAGCAAACACAGTGTTCAGTTTATTAGGTACACTTGGCTAAAACTAATGCAGTCTAATACAACAGTCCTGCAATATACCATTTTCAACATAAATGGAACATTATAATCAGCTTTACTAAACAAATCTGTGATCACAAACAAAGCATCATTTATTCATGTAATTTGTGTGACTTAGGTAGACCAAATGAACTATATGAAACCAAACCAAGCCTATGGTGTGTTTGTTGTCTCATGTGCATCTCATTTATAAAGCAGTGCTTAGAATCTCTACTGAAAGTGTACGAGAGTACCTGTGCTGAAAATCGAAGCGAAGACCTGTTGTGCGTATGCACACTTGCAGGCAATGCTACCTTAATGAATCACACTCAAATAAAACATTTCCGTTAAACACATCCACAAAGGTGAATTCGACTAAAAACACTCATCATCTGCTCTCGGTGTAATTGAACTGCTGTGTTCATATTTGAAGTGCTGCATGTAACAGATAACAGTAACTTTCCTCAGAGGGAAACTCAACACAGGATTCTCAGACTGTCAGTGAATTATGACGTGGAGAGCCCCGAGTTTAAAGGCAAGTTTATCTGTACAGCTACTTTCAACAACAAGGCAAGTCACTTTAATGCACGACAAAAACAACAACATTTCTGATTCATCTGTGTGAGTGAAAAGGCCTGACAGGGGACAGGTGTGTGTGTTCCTGTGTGACAGGGGTACCAACTACATTTATTCAAGGGCCAGAAACTTTCTAAATAGACACTGTGGGGGCCAGACTTTAAAAAAAAAAAGAATTATTTAGGCTAAATTAGCATTTTATTGTTTAATATTTGTACTTTCACAAAATGAATATTTGTATAAGCTGGTGCAAACATACTCCTAAAAAACATGTTAAATCCATAATGATAACTTCAAAGTAGATACTAGATAGCCTACTTCAATAGGAGACCCGCCAAGGAGGCTGTTCCCAGAAATCTGGGGCAGCTAAACATACTATTGTCAGGCAATAATTTTTTTTGTTTTTTTTCAAGCTCTGACTGTAATGGCATGTTTTCTTCAAGCTTGCCTTGTTTTCCAACATCCTTTTTTCCATTGCCACAGATGCAGAAGTGAAGTTTAAAGCTGACGCCACAGATTTTCCAGTCATTATGCAGTTGAGGTTTGTTGTTTATTGCAGTAGTAAATAGTTCCACAAATAGATGAACATACCGGTTGTTTTCCAAATCTATTGTTTCCAGTTGTAGTGTCTATTCTGGCCTGTGGTCAGGTGAGAATAGTGAGTGCTCCCCCCTACCTGCCTACCACTTCCTGCCCCTTATATACAACCCTGTGCATCTAATGACTGCCACCCAGTGTCCAAAATACTGATGCAAAAAAGGTGGAGGTGTGCAGCCTGTTGCCTGCAGCTCTTCATCTGCACCTAACTGTTTTATTATTCCCTGCAATATTTCAAACTGGTCCGCTGTCAAGTTGCACATTGCATTTACTTTGACCACTTCATAATAAAAGTCAACTCATGTTTTGCCAGTTCAATGCTTTTATTGTGAAGCATCAGCTGTAGGAAATGTTCAGTTTGCATTAGCGGTAACTTAATACAACATTTTCCCAGGTATTTCCCCACAGATGCACACTTCCTAATATTGTAAAGATATAATTGTTGCAATACTTCATCTGTAGCCACATTTTGCAGGCCGGATGGGAAGCTTTGGCGGGCAGAATATTGCCCGCAGGCCACCAGGTGACAATACCTGCTGTATCTAAATAGGTGCAGAGGTGATTGGTAAAGTGGTTTATAACCAGTTTCCCAGTCACATCAGTTAACGAGCGGTTTAATGAAAGCACTCACCACCAACAACAACAACAACAACAACAAGCTGAATGTTGATTATTTGACTTGACTGAAGATCAGGAAAATCACAGGTGTAGTTTCCACTGTCAATCACCTTTGTATTTCTGATGGTGATGGAGGCGTTGCCGTACTTCAGTTCATCTGGAAAATGTGAGACGCGACCTTTGAACTGCCATGCTTGACCTGCACGACCGTTATTGTAATGAGTTCCTACATCATACAGGAAGACCTTCTTCTGACCATCTTTCTTCCAGTCAAAGCGTTTGAACTCAATGTTCTCCTTGCTACTGAGGGAACAGGGTAAAACAACATCTCTCCCTTTTTTCACTGTGAAGATCAGTGGCTCTGGAAGATAAAAACAGAATTAATCAGTATGTTTACAGTTAATTTAATTAGGTTTAGAACAACAAATCAACTCATGCTATCACAATAAACTTTTCTTTTGCTTTGACTTTGCCGAACACTTTGTCCTTCAGATATTTCTACTTGTTTACATTTAACATTGTTACATTTTATCAATCCTTTTTTCTTTTAGATTTCTTTTTTCTCAACCTTATTTTTACCACAGAACTTCTTTATCACAAACTTAAGAGCTCATTAATAATAACATTTAACTCTCTCTCTCTTTTTCCCAGGTGATGATGACTCGATCAATCCAACGGTCTGCACATTCAGCACACTAATAACAAGGAAGAAGAAGAAAGAGGAAACGAAGAGAGAGCAATGAAGAAAACACAGAAATAAAAGTTTTAACTTACCATAATTCAGTTTATTATGATTTCTAAGTTGTGTAAGAAAAAGAGAAATCAATAGCCACAAACCTCTGAACTACACTCAGATAGCAGGAACACAGATTTCATCATAACCTTCATAATCATGAAGCCTGGTAAACACTCCAGATGTTTCTGCATCGCTGTGCGGACGAGGACCTGCCAGATGTTTATTCTGACTACTTGACAAAAGTCCACGGGACTCTTAAACCAGTCAATGAGCGGCCACCTTTAACTCTTTAATGAAAACACTCACCAACAACAAGCTGAATGTGGAATTTTTGTCTTGGCTGAAGACGTGGAAAATCACAGATGTAGTTTCCACTGTCAGACAACTTTGTGTTTCTGATGATGATGGAGGCGTTGCCGTATTTTAGTCCATCTGGAAAATGTGAGACGCGACCTTTGAACCGTCCTAAACCAAACCCATCATGTTCATCATAGTAGAACACGCGCTTCTTCCCACCTTTCTTCCAAACAAAGAGTTTTGACTCGATGTCCTCGTTGGTGCCGAGGGAACAGGGTAAAATAACATCACTCATTTTATTCACTTTGATGGTCACTGGCTCTGGAAGATAAAAAACATGTATTAAATCTGTATGATTAAACTGTATTAAGTTAAAACAGACATATAGAAAGCTGTTTCAGCTCATAAGAAGAAGATTTTCTTGTTCTTTGACCTTGTCGAGCACTTTGTCCTCCTGATAATTGCTTGTTTGCATTCTTACCATATTTATATATTTTAACTGGAGCTGTTATCTTTTGTGTTTATTTTTTTTTAATCCTGATTTTTCACACAATAGTCTTTTAGCAGAAACTTAAGAGCAGTCTAATTAATAACATTTAACTCTCTCTTTTCCCCAGGTGTTGACGAACATCAGCACTGACTCAATTAATCAGACTGTCTCTGCCTGCACACTCAGCACACTGATAAGAAGGAAGAAGAAACGAGAGAGAGTGATGAAGAAAACACAGAACTATACGTCAAACAAACGTAACTTATTTCAGTTCAGTTTTCTCAGACCGAGTCAGGAGACAGAGACACGCAAGAGGAAGAAGCTGCACAGTTGTTGGAGTCACCTGAAGATTAAACATCACTTTAACTTCACTGTAATGGGACACTTAACGATTTCTGAATGTGTCACCTACAGCTGAAACGTCAGCACTTCCGGCGTGACCCTTCACAATAAAAGCCAAATAAAATCGAAACAGAGACTTCAGCCGAGTTCAGCCCCAACAACCTCCTCACTGACTTTAACACTGGTCTTCCCCTTGCCTGGTCATATGCCTTGTTTCATAATTTGTACTCTTCAGACCTTTTCGTCTTTGGCTTTAGCGATCAGTGAGGAAACTTACTCTGAATTTAACAAAAAGTGCACCGGATCAGTTCTGTCCGAATTAAATGCCACTTCTTGTTTCACCTCATTAACTCCAACCTGTCTACTAAAAAGAAACAACTCCAATGACAGAACCATCCATTAAATAATATTGTTGGAATAAAGAATAAGATTGAAGAAGTTTTTTTATGAATGCTCATGAGGCTGATAAACCAATAATTGCCTTGTCAGAGGCTGCAGTGGAGCGATGTTAGCGTTTTCCTCATCTGCTATTTCTCCTCTTTTCCTTAGTCTGTCTTTTCTCCTTCATCTGAATCTCTTTCTGTTCTTCATTTTTTCTCTCCATCTCCCTTAAATGTGTTCCTTCACCTCTTTTCTCCTCCGTCACTTTTCCTTCTCCATCTTTAGTCTTTGCTCCATCTTTCTTGTCTCCCTCACCACCTCTGTTTTCTCACAATTTTTCTTTCCTACCTCCTCCTTTATGTCGTTTTCTCGTATATCGTCTTCTCATCCTCCACCCAAGTTGCTTCTTTTCTTCTACCTCTTTTCTCCACATACATCTATGCCAGGTGACAATAACTGCTGTATCTAAATAGGTGCAGAGGTGAAAGTTGTTTATAACCAGTCACATCAGTTAATGAGCGGTTTAATGAAAGCACTCACCACCAACAACAACAACAACAAGCTTAATGTTGATTATTTGACTTGACTGAAGATCAGGAAAATCACAGGTGTAGACTCCACTGTCAATCACCTTTGTATTTCTGATGGTGATGGAGGCGTTGCCGTACTTCAGTTCATCTGGAAAATGTGAGACGCGACCTTTGAACTGCCATGCTTGACCTGCACGACCGTTATTGTAATGAGTTCCTACATCATACAGGAAGACCTTCTTCTGACCATCTTTCTTCCAGTCAAAGCGTTTGAACTCAATGTTCTCCTTGCTCCTGAGGGAACAGGGTAAAACAACATCTCTCCCTTTTTTCACTGTGAGGGATCAGTGGCTCTGGAAGATAAAAACAAAATTAATCAGTATGTTTACAAGTAATTTAATTAGGTTTAGAACAACAAATCAAATCATGCTATCACAATAAACTTTTCTTTTGCTTTGACTTTGCCGAACACTTTTGTCCTTCAGATATTTTCTACTTGTTTACATTTAACATTGTTACATTTTATCAATCCTTTTTTCTTTTAGATTTCTTTTTTACCACAGAACTTCTTTATCACAAACTTAAGAGCTCATTAATAATAACATTTAACTCTCTCTCTCTCTTTTTCCCAGGTGATGATGACTCGATCAATCCAACGGTCTGCACATTCAGCACACTAACAACAAGGAAGAAGAAGAAAGAGGAAACGAAGAGAGAGAGCAATGAAGAAAACACACAAATAAAAGTTTTAACTTACCATAATTCAGCTTATTATGATTTCTAAGTTGTGTAAGAACAAAAAATCAATAACCACAAACCTCTGAACTACACTCAGATAGCAGGAACACAGATTTCATCATAACCTTCATAATCATGAAGCCTGGTAAACACTCCAGATGTTTCTGCATCGCTGTGCGGACGAGGACCTGCCAGATGTTTATTCTGACTACTTGACAAAAGTCCACGGGACTCTTAAACCAGTCAATGAGCGGCCACCTTTAACTCTTTAATGAAAACACTCACCAACAATAAGCTGAATGTGGAATTTTTGTCTTGGCTGAAGACGTGGAAAATCACAGGTGTAGTTTCCACTGTCAGACAACTTTGTGTATCTGATGATGATGGAGGCGTTGCCGTATTTTAGTCCATCTGGAAAATGTGAGACGCGACCTTTGAACCGTCCTAAACCAAACCCATCATGTTCATCATAGTAGAACACGGCCTTCTGCCCACTTTTCTTCCAAACAAAGAGTTTTGACTCGATGTCCTCGTTGGTGCCGAGGGAACAGGGTAAAATAACATCACTCATTTTATTCACTTTGATGGTCACTGGCTCTGGAAGATAAAAACATGTATTAAATCTGTATGATTAAACTGTATTAAGTTAAAACAGACATATAGAAAGCTGTTTCAGCTCATAAGAAGAAGATTTTCTTGTTCTTTGACCTTGTCGAGCACTTTGTCCTCCTGATAATTGCTCGTTTGCATTCTTACCATATTTATATATTTTTACTGGAGCTGTTATCTTTTGTGTTTATTCCTTTTAATCCTTATTTTTCACACAATAGTATTTTAGCAGAAACTTAAGAGCAGTCTAATTAATAACATTTAACTCTCTCTTTTTTCCCCAGGTGTTGACGAACATCAGCACTGACTCAGTTAATTAGTCTGCACACTCAGCACACTGATAAGAAGGAAGAAGAAACGAGAGAGAGTGATGAAGAAAACACAGAACTATACGTCAAACAAACAGAACTTATTTCAGTACATAATTATTTCTAAGTCTAGTACGTAAAAAAGACAACAACAACAAACCTCTGAACTACACATAAATATCTCTGTCCACACATACAAAACATCCCGTTCACACAAACCCAAGTTTCAACGTTGATTTGTAGTTGAAACCTGAGTGATTTCACTCACTCTCCTTAACAGCTGAGCAGACCTTCCTTAAGGAAGAGGCAAAATTATAGATCAATCTTACATCCCCCAAAACGAGCTGCTAAAATAGATCCTGACTGAGGAAACAATGATCACAACATTCACAAAGGTCCGAACAGGTATTCAGACGGTGCTTTGTCAATCTAATCCTCTGTGTTTTCTGTACATGATCATGGCTTTAGATCTGAGTTAAAGATGTGAGAAAGAAATTAAGCCAGAGGAACAACTTTTTATGACTCTTATTATTCTTATTTCCTACTCAATAAAAAGAGTCAACAAACAGTAGAGTTTCTCTTTAACGCTCGACAACGCCCGAACTTCGGCTCCTGCAGATTTGGGAAAACATAAAACTATAATCATCAGTAATCAGGATGCTGACTCAGTCAGTCTGAAGTTTTCTTACCGTGTTCATCAGCAAACGTTGTTCCAGACCGAGTCAGCAGACAGAGACACGCGAGAGCAAGAAGCTGCATAGTTGTTGAAGTCACCTGAAGATTAAACATCACTTTAACTTCACTGTAGCGGGACTAACGGGACACTTAACGATTTCTGAATGTGTCACCTACAGCTGAAACGTCAGCACTTCCGGCTTGACCCTTCACAATAAAAGCTAAATAAAATCATAGACTGTATTAAAGAGACTTGGCAGAGTTCAGCTGCTATTTCTCCTCTTCCATGTTCATCTCTCTTTTCCTTAGTCTCCTTCATCTGCATCTCTTTCTGTTCTTCATTTTTTCTCTGCATCTCTTTCTGTTCTTCATTTTTTCTCTGCATCTCTTTCTGTTCTTCATTTTTTCTCTCCATCTCCCTTAAATGTGCTCCTTCCACCTCTTTTCTCATCTGTCACTTTTACCTTCTCCCTTGTTACAGCTACCGAGGGCAGCCGTCCATGTATTTCACTGTTGCTGCTATTTTTCACTGTATGCTAATGAGGCTGTGAGGTTTCCGGCTGGGGATTGGCTGGTTCCCAGAAAGGTCTGGCTGATCCCGCCTCCCACATCAGAGATCCCCGATTGGAGCGGCGCAACAAACCTCCTCCCATCCCTGAGCTGCCTGCAAGCACCTTGTTTAAAAAAAGTGATTTGTGTTTTGTTTGTTCTGCAGAATTGGGCCAGGGTTTCAGCTTATTATTGATATCATTACTCCTTGTTAGTTATATGTTAGCCACACTAAAGGTTTAGAGGTGCTGCGCTCCCTGTGTTTCTGATTAAAGCCACGACTGAGAGAGGTTTTTGGTTTTCCTTTTGTTTGTAGTAATTAGTCCCTTGTTTAGAAGGGGTCTCTTTTGGTTATATTTTGTTCTTCGGTTTACGCAGCACCAACTTTGCCCAATTTCTGTTCTGACCTTTTGTTTGTTTCCCCTCTGTTTAATAAATAACATTTCCACTTTACCAAGAACATCTGGTTTATGTTTATGTCTCCTTTACCCCCAGCGAGCGGGGACATAACACCATCTTTAGTCTTTGCTCCATCTTTCTTGTCTCCCTCACCACCTCTGTTTTCTCACACTTTTTCTTTCCTCCCTTCTCCTTTATGTCATTTTCTTGTATATCGTCCTCTCATCCTCCATCCAAGTTGCATCTTTTCTTTTACCTCTTTTCTCCACGTACATCTATCTTCTCTCCTCCTCCATTTCATTTTGTGCCTCCTCTCTTCTCCTCCTCTTTCCCTTTTGTCCCTCTGTTCTCTAATGTTCCTCTAATGTTATTCATCCTCTGTCTGTTATCTTCTTGTCTTCATTCACTTTCTCCTTTTTTCCCCTCTATGGTTGAATCATTTATTTTCTTCCTCATGTTCTCTGATCTTCTGCTGTCCTTTAACTCCTTCTACCTTTTCTCTCTCTGACATTGACCTTAATTCTCTACAGTTTCTTTTATTCTCCTTTTTTCTTCTTCTTCACTCACTCACACAAAAGCCACAGAAGACTGCTGTTAACTTTCCCCTTTAACCAAATTACCTTGATGTCTGTCCTCAAATATCTGTTTTTAGAGCCTTTATTTTTCGGTCCCTTCCTCCTAAATACCTCTGTTTTTCTTTCTAGTTTATTTTTCATCTCTCTGCTCATTACTTTCAGCTCAACAAGCTGTTATTCCCCTTGCAGGTAGGTGACAAACAGCCATTTCCATTTTTTTATCTTGTCCCAGGGAGTACTGAGAGGTAAATATAGTAGCAGACACCACAGGTAGTTGATGATCTGCAGTCACAGTAGTGCGTCCTCTCAGATGCTACGCAGCAGGAAGAAATGGCACACAGAGTCTGAAAACAGGGAGGCAGCACACTTATTACAAGGTGGTTAAACTCTCAGAGGTGATCATCATGAGACCAGCAGACACTGATATAGATATATAAATCCACTCTGCTTTCCCATAAACAAGACTACAGCCATGGTAGCAGCTCTCAGAGGTTGTACTGAGGTACAGCAGGGCTTTGAGTAACTCCAACATGCTGATGTTTACCAAGTTCACCATTGTAGTTGAACATTTGCTAATTAGCACTAAACTTAAAATACAGCTCAGGCTGATGGGAATGTCAATCATTTCCCAGTTATTTGGCAAGCGGCAACTCCGGTGCTAGAAAATGAAGCCAGCACAGAAGTGCCAAAAACTGTAGTTCATCAAATTCATCACTGGAGGCTGGTTCCAAATGTGAGAGAATCTCCGTAGACTCCCATGTTAATAAAATGCCCAACTTTACAGCAAAAATAAAGCTGTTTACAACCTGTTTAAATTACATTAAGGCTTAAAGTTTTATGTAATTAATAAGGATGTGGCCAGGGCGGAGTTCAGCGCCGACAAAACGTAGCAAAATGTTTATTTCATCGGAAACGGTGGTGCCTTGAACACACTGTTGTGTACGCGAGCGCACTGCTGCCTTTTTAACACCGAATACCAAGCTGACGAAGCCCGGAGCCACCCAGAGCTCCTCTTCAGAAACCTACTGGTGACATCACGGAGATTACATCCATCTTTTATACAGTCTCTGGTATTTGGTCATAAAAATGTACTGGAAAAACAACTTTGCCCTGATGGCACTAGAAGAAAAGTTTGAGGATCACCAAAGTTATTCAAATTCATCTTGAGGGGAACATGAATATCTGAACCAAATTTCACTTCAATCTTTCCAACAGTTGTTTCATTTCACCTGAATCCAGAAATGTGAATCTCGTTGTGACACTAGAGGAAAAGTCAGAGGGTCACCAAAGTCATTAGAATTCCTCCTTTGGGTGAATTGAAAGTTTGGACAAACATTCATGACATCTAATTCAGCCTGGGCCAAAGTGGCGTCACGACCAACACCGACCATACCTGCCACTTTCATGGCTACCAAAAAAATCCTACAAATCAGTACGACAATACTGTGCTGGTTTGGTTTGAAGTATTGAACTCTGAAGCCACAGTTCACTGCATCTCTGTGATTTTGGAACATTTGGCTTTTCAGCTAAGCGGCAAGAACATCTTATCTGATCACATTAAATCTGATCTCTTCCTCCTCTCCGAGCCCTCTCTACGTGTTTTGTGTTTCATTATTTAGACTCATTAAAATTCAGACTATGTACTATTTCGCTCACAGCTATTCTTTTTAAACTTGCAGACAAAAATGTTAATTTGCTGTGTGCTTTCTCTTAAATTGTTTCTGACTCTTGGTTCTGTTTGTTAATTTCTGCCTCAACAAGCTCCCATCTCTCTCCCCTGCCTCAGCTGCTGAACCGAGCTGGTGCTTCATTCATTAACATCTTTTTCTGCTCCAGGTCACTGTGATGCACAAGACAATTTGAATTTATATGGACACATAAACAATCCCAGATCTTTTTTATTACTTGTTTGGGAGATAAATGAGAGGCAGAAGATGAAGGTGGAGATGAGAGGTGAGTGGGAGAGACGGGGATGTAAATAACACTCACAGATGTTTCTTGTTCAATTTAATTAGCGGTTCTGACAGAGGCATGCTTACCTGTCTGTAGGAGCAAACATATTTTACTTTCAGCAGATGGTTGCAACTGATTTTCCTTTGTGGGTACAAAGAGATGTCTCTTTTTGAAAACATTATTCTGCGACAACCATGAGTCATTCTGACTGTGAATTTCTGTGACACCAGGCCAGCCGCACTTATTAAAGAAAGACGGCAGAGAGAGAAATAATTAATAAAAGAAATGTGATAAGAGGGAGGGAGATAAAAAGAGATAAAGAAAAAGAGTGACATGCAGGCAGTTGTTTAGAATTCAAATCTGACAGCAATAATAATGAGGCGGAGACTTTATAAAGCTGAAGAAGAAAAAGCAAGAAAGACATTTTTAAAAAATCTACACACACATTTAAAGGTTACTGTAGTAGCCTATGTCAAAGTATTACATGCACATCTGCATACATGTGCTCTTTAAGTACCAGGAAGAAAACCTGATCACATGTAAAGGGCTATAATTGTAAAGGCATTACTAGGTGTTGCTATAGTTTTGCAGACACTGTTTGGTTTTGGTTAGTAATGTATTAGTTGGATTTATTTTCCTTTTTTCATGGAACTTGTGTTTGAAAAGATGGGGTTGTGTTAAATTCAAAGACAGACATTTACTAGCCTTAATGTCGCTAGTCTAGCGAGTTTCTTCAAGTCTATTATAGTGTTTAGTTAGCAAATTAAAATCTAAGGGAGTTTCTGACTGCAGGTGTTAACTTACACTGATTTCGTAGATATTGTAAATACTGTATTTTCATGTGTATATGTGTTCATATTTACAAATATGTATGTATTTGTATATGCAAATCTTTGTCAAAACTGTAATTTCTAACTTTAGTGCTATTTTTAAATACTAATATTTTATTGTTCTATTCCATTCTTATTTAAAATATTTGAATATTTGTTTATACATTTTGTGTGTGTGTAGAGTGGAAGGGGCTACAACTGCTTTTCATCGTGCAATACCGCTTTGTACAATGACAATAAAGCTGGACTTGGAATTTATTGTCCTACAATCAGAGTTGGTTCATATTTGGGCCAATAGGATTTGTTGCTTTGTGGTTGCAGATGGTGTTCAGCGGACATATTACTGAAACTTCCTCTCTGAAGTTTTAAGTTGAGATAAGAGAAGTCTGTTTTTCCCCAGTTTGGTATTAAAGAAGCAAATCCTTAAACACCTTAGGAATCCTATTTTATTTGATCTTTTCTCAGGCTTGGAAATCCTAAATACTCGTTCCAACATTTTTTATCAACTTTGTTATCTACCAACCAACCGACGGTACGCTTCTCTCAAACAACTTTGTGTCCGTTGGTTTTTCTCATTGAAACAGACAAAACCTGGAGAAAAAACCACGATCGACACTTGAGTTGACAGAAGAGTTAGAGATGATTTGTTTATTTTTTATTTAACCATTATTTAACCAGGGAGGAACCATTGAGATAAAATCTCTTTTTAAATAGCGCTGTGTCCAAGAAAGGCAGCAGGACAGCAAATCTGACAGTACAGACATACAGTACAGTATAAACATTGCACACTATAAAATCCAGTAGGCCTACATTAACATCATCATGCAGATAAAATACACCACTGGAATGCCTGCTTATTTAAATGTACATACATTCATCTTTTAAAACCTCTGCAATCACGGACTTGAACTTTGCAGAATGCATCAGCGCCTCCAACAGAAGGGTCCTTTGCAAAGAGTTTCAAATGTTACTGTGTCGATAACATCTGCAAAGAAATCCAAAGATGTTCTTTTTGGGAAATTTACAACAACCCTGACCCGAGAGGTAAAAGAAAAAGAGTGGCCAATGCTATCCTATTGACTTTTTGTCAGTTGTTAGCCAACACTGGTGGAAAAGTGAAAATTAGGACAGCATCACAGGGTAAACCAACAACATCACAATTTGATAAAAATGCATTTTGTAACTCTAGGCTACATGTTAATATATAATCAACCATCTATTCTGAATGTTTTTTCATTTTCATACAGTCCTGGTTATTCTGAAAAAGGAAATGTGCCGTACATCCACATTTGAAGAAGCTGATGAAATGTAAGTGGTACAAAACCAGTTTGTGGCCTGATGATAGCTGCAGTGTTGAATGGCATCAATAGAAACAAGCATCCTCAATTCAGCTTTCTAAAATGTCGTAATTTTGATATCTGTGTTTCAACGTGTTCATATCCTGACACACCATGTTAAAATGTACATGGGGTGTTGCAAGACTTTAAAAGGGTGCAGCAACTGAACCTTCAGCTCCAGATGACAAAAGAAAAAGTAAAAGAGAAAGTAAAGAATAAAAAAGAGAAAACTGGAGAATGACAGTGTGGCAGAGCCCAACACTAAAAGAGAAAAGGGAATAAAGAAAAGACTGACAGATGGATTGACAGATGGATAGAGGACTACCTGTATTATCCTCCAGCTGTATTTGTGTGTGTGTGTGTGTGTGTGTGTGTGTGTGTGTGTGTGTGTGTGTGTGTGTTGGTGTGTTAGGCCCAGCTGGATTATTGTTATCCTCAAACACACTTTAATTTTGTTATGGATAAAACTGGAGACACTGACTCTCACACAGACATTTCTACACAAAAATGTTTTTTACAAAAACACACTGAGCACTGAAAATACTGTAACACACAGAACCTTGTGGTCATTCACACACACACACACACACACACACACAGAGACTATGGTAGCGCCAGATGAAGGTAATGAATCTCTTGGAGGCTCTCTGGAGAGACGGTAACGACATGTGACACAGAGACACCAGAGGGGTGACGTGTTTGGGGTCAGTGACAGGAAGTCTACACAATGACATCACTCGACTCTCAGTGTGGGTTAAATTTACACTAATGCTGAAATAAAAGCCTCATGAGGAAGGAATATAAATGGGAATTACAGAAAGTCCACAAGCTAATGCTGAAAGTGTAAGTTCTCGTGGCTTTTACAGCCGTTAAATAACTCAGTGTTACATGTTCAGTATTTCAAGGTAATTATATTAATGTTTTAATAATAATAATAAAGGATTTTGGTCTTGTTTTAGTTCCGTGTCTTGAGTTCTACTGTTTTGCCTTGTTTATTCTTGTGAAGATTTTGCGATGGTTCTCATTCTGTTTTCTTGTCCTACTACTTAGTCCTGCCTGCAATCTTGTTTATTGTTGAATGTTGAGGAAACATGAAAAGCAGCTGCACTAACATAGAATTGAGAGCATCTATTTTTGTTTTTACCAGTCAGTAGGTCAGACCACCACTTTGGTCCAGACTGAAATATCTCAACTATTCGATTGCCATGAGATTTTGTACATTCATGTTCCCCGCAGGATGAACTGCAATCATTTCAGAGATACTTCTTCTGTTGTGCCATCAACAGATCAGAATTTCAATTAGTTGAATACTTTGATTAATGACAAAATATTCTCAAAACAAATGACATTGGCTGTACTTTGTGTTTAGCAATTAAAGAATGTTTGCGTGCTAACAGGTTAAACTAAGATAGTGAACTTAAGCTGTTTTTCATCCTGCGTTCTTGTCTGTACTTGTGTTCTTGTGGAAGTGAAACGTCATCAGTCGCACTGTTCCAATTCAAAAGCATCTAGCCCAGTTCAGTCAAAACCCCGGATATGTTCTCGCTCCGCCCGTTTAACCGAGCCCGCATCGGTGGTGACGTGTGTGGACTTCGGATAGCCAGATATCCCAGAATGCAAAGCGGAAATGTCGGAGGTAAAAACTCACATCTGTAAGTTATAATACTGCTGTTATTTTCAAATTACTTGAAAATTTGCTACGTTTTCGGAGATGTGAGGTTTTGATCAAATCCGCTGCTGTTCCAATTGCTGAATGATGGACTGCGTGCTCCCGTTCCTGGGAGTTTGTACTCCCCGGCCGAACTTGCCACGTCCGAGCTTTAAAGTACAGAAGCCCAAACTTGGCAAACTCTGTACCGAGAAACAGCCATTATACCTGCTAAACATTAGCATGTTAGCATGCATTTGTTAGCATTTTGCTCAAAGCTCTGCGTTTGTCTTTAGTGCCATAACAGAAACATGGATTCATTTTAGTGACACCTGAATAAACAAAGAGATTTTGTGAAATTCTGATGGAAAAATACAAATAAAAGCATATGCATATTATGTGATTTAAATGTTGCTCCTCTGTTTATCAAAGCCACTTACAAGCAGTCTGCAGGTACAGCTCTTCACACGGTTCAACCCAGAAACACTTCGACTGGTGACATCACTGATGGAGGTATTGAACCTGCGACCCCTCTGTGACCAGATGGTTACACCAACCCCCAGGCTGCCCTGCTGCCGCGGTTCCTGACCACAGCTGCAGCTCAAGATGTTTTTCTCACCTGCTTAAATGCAAATCAGAGTCTGCTGATGTTGAAGACCAGAGAGCAGTCAGACACACTGGATTTAAAAACAACAACAGAAATTTTATTGGTCACGTTAACAAAATCATACTTAAAAATCAGCATCATCATCGTTACATACAGTACACAGCTCCTCAGTATGTACAGGAACAAGGCATCGGACCTTTACGGCGTCACACATAAATAACATGCAGATTCAACGGCCTCCTGAAGCACACAAAGCAGCGTTTATGTCACTGTGAGTGGGGATCAAACATAAGAGATGGACCTGTTTCTCTAAATGATCAGGTAAAAGTTCATATATACTGTATATATGTGTGTGTGTCTGTGTGTTGGAACAATTTCTAGAGTGACGATATATAGTATTTCCTCAATTCAGTTACACAACATTTAGCTCTTCACATTCATCCTTATTTGACTTCACATGAGATGGTTTTAAGAGGAATGTTTTAAGAGGAGTGGGATTTTAAAGATTTATAAAATGATGATGAATAATTGTCACAAATAAACATGTCAGATTATGATAATTTTTACAACACATTGCACACAAGTAACTGTGCTCTTTACAAAATACACCACTGAGCAAACCAGCAGTCTGTGCAGTTACAACCACTTAACCATTGTTAGACTTTGATTGATCTGTTATCAGGAGCGAAAACAATACAAGATAACACATCTGCAACAGAATATTCATCACTGGTTTAAATACAGAAATTAAAACAAATATTTAGATTCTTTGTGGTGCGAAAACCTTCAAACGTCATCCTTGGCTTAGAGACATTCCCACATCTTATATAACAACTCTGTAAGGAAAGAACTCAACAGGCGCTGCAGAAGCTTTCAAGTCCACATGTTTGTTTCTTCACTCTGAACCAGATCAACTGAGAGTAAAGTTTCATACATCCAGTTTGGCAGGTGATCTGATCACAGAGTAGAAGTACAGAGACCACTTCTGAATCATGTGATATATAAGGCTTATTTTCACCAAAGAAACGATCTAATTCATTTCGAGAAGTTTGTGACCTTTGACTGGTTTTCACTCGGATTTAATGTGTTTCTTCGTCATTTGCATTTTAGCTGAATGTGAAGAGAAAAATGGGAAGAAAAAGCTGCTGGAGTTTCTCTTAAAGTCATTAATAACATTTCTGGATTAACAGTTTTTAAAACAAAACATTGTAAGTTATAATACAACCCCCATCGGCTTTATAACAGTTTATAGACCCCGGTTTTCACATAGGTTAAATAGGGATATGTCACTATTCTTAATTAGTAGATTATATAACCTTATAACAACTCTGTGACCGATAAACATTCCCACCAGCTGAGTTAGCTCAACTAACTAATGTAGAAAACAACTTTAAGTACAAGTGACATGAATCCCTTTAATGTGCTAATTGTTACTTTCATTGTCATTTATTGATTGCAAAAGATTCACATCATCACAAACGGACACACAACTCCTTTCTCAGGCCACGTAATATTTTTTTCATTCTTCTTATACATTTCATAGACTTTAACAAGTATCATTTCACTCTGGTTACTTAAAGCGATATTTCACCTGGATAGAATAGATTCTTTCTTTTTTTATATACAATTAAATTCATGAACATTCAGCTGCCCCGGGGCGTCTGTCACTTTCCTGTCACTTTCCTGTTATAGCTTTCGGAAATATTACAGCATATTTAACAGCACATTTAGTTAGATATTTTCAGATAGTGTTATTGACATTCACCGTGACACAGGAGCAGATGAGTTCACACTGTAATCTGGGATAATAAATATTGTTAACAAGTTAAAGGGGCAACAACGTACCCATAAATCATTATCAGAGAACAGTGAATACTGACCTGAATGATTACTGAACCCCAAAACATCATAGGATATCCGGTTTAGGGTTGAATGCTGGGAATTGATTTTCTGGGAATTCTTGTCCAGTTTCCTGAGAACAATACCTGCATTAACCCAGGATTTATCACATTTTGCCTGCATACTGAAGACTTATCTGAAACAAAGCAGGATTTCCAAACCTCATTAAGTGGCTTCCCCTACACTTCTTTTTCATGCACATCTTTTTTTAAAGTCGAAATATCTCAAATCTTTTTACTCTTGGCTGAGGTGGAAGAGTTGTTGTATAGATAAAAACAAAAATGCAACGTGGAAACTGGACTTAGTGAATAAATGATGACGTATATGAAGCATCTGGTGAAGAGCTGAAAACATCAGATGTGTGTGAGGAGGAGGACGAAACCTTCCTCACATTAACATCTGTTTCCCTTCGTTGTGTCCTCTTCTTCTGTGATGGTTTAACAGCAGCGACGAAAGTAGAGCCACCAGCTGTTTATCCAGATGCATCAGCTCCTAATATTTACATAACAGTACTTTTTATTCTGGATTTTTTTATGGATTCGATTAACCAGTGGAGGGTCAATAAAGGCCTCAGTTCACATGTTGCCCCTTTAAAACAAGTTACCATGGTGACAGATTCCTCAGTCAGTGGACATTGATGCTAATGAGCGTTTGGACACGTCTGCTTTGGCCCCCAAAAATATCCCACCTAAGTGAAATATCGCATTATCTCGTTAAATATACATTAATTCACGTTTAAGACAGAATAATAAAAAAAAAGCAGGAATGTTTATACAATAGTGTTTGCAAGGCGAAATCACGTGACTGTTTACACATGTGGATCGTGTGATATTGCATGACACTGCTGCGATGGTGCCACCTCCTGCATTGCAGTATTAATTTGTACATTCATTGAGTCTCTGAGTAAAATGCTACTGCTGTGTGTTACATGTGTGCGTATTAAATCTGTACATAAAGGGAAGCATGTTTTCAGTGGGCGCTTTGTGGAGATTTGTAGGCGTAAACTGTGATTTTACTCTGTTTTCTTTATCTGGTAGCTTAAAGAGCTGCTTATTTGAGGTTACATTTTTTACAAGGTGCTCGTGTTCACTGTGTTGGCAACCTTGTCTGGTTTTTCTGAAGCTGCAGATAGTGTAGTGATTAATGAGACCGAGCGCCGGGTCAAGCACCCTGCGTGCCGCTGAAGTGTCCTTGAGTGAAGTACTGAATCGCAAGCAGCTGTGGGAACACTGTGCTGTAACTGACCTTTGACATTTGACCCCTCAGTGTGGAGAAGGGGGAGGAGGAGTGTTTCTGGTCTGGAGAGGACAAACAGGAACATAGATTGTCTCTGATGCATTTGCTTGTAACTGCGCGTTGCCTTATTCTGCATTCCTTTATATCAGAGGTTTTAAACAGTCAACAGAGTCAACAGTGGCTGTGACACGCAGCTCACGGGTGATATTATCGTACTTTATGCACTTTTAACACTGCAACACAACATTTTGTGCCGGATTGCTGCAATTTGTGTTAAAATAATAAATGAAAACAGTCATAATTAGCAGCGTAACATAAATTTGCTAGGCCCTGGGGCAAAAAAGCACGCTTGTATACATACGGGCATACAAACACTTGACTCCATGCAATTGCAAACCTGCAGCCTTTGATCAGCACCATGGACAGCAGCCCAAGTGCCAAGTCTATCAAGGTAGGTCTAACAGCCTTTCTCTGCACTCAAACCACCACCGTCAGCTTCAGCTTTTCCGTCAGTAACAAATCAACACACAGCAGCTTACACAGTATGTCAATAATCACAGAGCAAATAGTGAATAGGAAAAGTACAGCAACTCATCAGAGGCCTACACGCTATGAATGAATGGATGACATCATCTGATCACAATCTAGGCAGTAATTGTCGCTGTCCCTCATGGCCCCTTGTAATCAGCTGGGCCCAGGTGCATTGCACTGGCTGCACCATCTGTACTAATGCCACTGGTCATGATGTATTTATTTTTAGATTCAGTGTGACTTACACTTTCCAAGGACATTATTTCCTTCCATGTCCACAGCAAATAAAGTAAATCAGTGGCAGCTGTCTTTACATCCATGGGACCACTGCAAACAGGAAATGCTAATATCTAAATCTGCTACTTTTAATGAAGCCAATTTGCCCAAATGTAAATATTTAACATTATATTTCCTGTTCTAAAGCATCATGGAAACTGTGGTTCTGAAATGTAGTAGATATTTATGATATTTATATATATATTTATGTAGTAGATTATTACCAAAATAGAAGGAAGGCTAATGAGTTATAAAATGTTTTTCAGTATATTTTGGGACATTAGTTGACCATCAAACATGGTTCTTGTATTCCACGAATGCAGACATTCTCTTCTATCTAATTATATACAGATATTTACCCATCGCACACTCATAAATACATCGCTTACACTAAGTCATTCACATGGCAATAATCAGAGGTGTAGCTACGGTAAATTTGGGATTTGATGACCAAGTGATCTGACTTATCTGTGGCAACCAAATTGAAAAAAACTAATCTAAATCCCATGCTAAGGCTTTATTCATTAGCATAGCGGGGCAATCTGCCTGCTTCGTCCTCATGATTTCCTGCAGCGAGTTGTGACTACTCAGCTAAATTCCGCCCTTGGCCTGGTGTGAATTAAAGCTTTGGTTCTTGGAAAATGTCCACCTGCAGATGATTTGTCCTAAAAATGTGTAATTTATTCCTGCAAAGTCCCAAAGGCTCCTTGCATTTATATATTTCCCTCCTCGGGGATACAATCAGAGGTTTCAAGAGTTTATAACATTGTCTCCTCTGTGGTGCCCTCACAAGCACTTTCCATGACATCCGAGAACTGCTCTACCTACAGTGCTTGTTATAAATAGACCATTTCTATGGTAACAGAGTCATCGTGCTGCCGACAGAATAAAGATTGATTTTCTCTGTCTTTGGCCAAGGTGCTCGTGGTCGGTCTTGACATTCAAACACGTCACAGAGGAACAGAAACATAGTTTTGCTCTTTTCAGAGGCTCCACACTCACATGTCCATTCTCCCTCCCGCTCTCTTCTTCTGTTCTCATTTCTAGTAAATATCCATTCACGTATTTTAGGATGTGTTCACGGTTCAAGATGTATTTTGTATGTATACTGTATATTCTTTATTATTCCACTTCGATAATATCATGAGCCTCACGATGGACAAAATCGATGCAGCAGAACCAGAGATATCGTATTTTTAATTCCACTCATTCGTCTTCCTTGTCAAAATCTATTGTCTACGTTACCCACAATGCAACTACATCGCCAACAGCTGGGTCGGCTAATGTAGCCTGCAGCAGAGATGAGCAGCGAGCTACAGATGTCTGGTAAGTTCACATCTTTCTTATGTTGTGTTCCTGTCAAAGTCCAGAGGAAATTTCCAACTTCTTAGCGTTCCAGGTGCACAACGCCAAATGTAAACAAAAAACAGACTGACCGTGACAATCTGATGTTTCTTGGGTACATATGATTGAATCGCAGCAGTGCACTTTGTTGTAATGAAAACGATTGACATAAATATACGTTAACTGTTTTCAAAAAATTTTGCAACTTTTGTGCAAAGAAGATGACTTTTTGTTTGATTGTTTACTGTAGGCCTAATTAAGTTTGTAATTAATACTAACACTAGCGACATATTTCAACATCAATTTACACAGAGGACAGGTTTTACTATATGCTCGTATGTATTACATGTAACACAGGCGAATATACTTCATGTTGATGGTTTACCATTTATGATATGCAGTTCCACGAGCCATTGTTTTGAGATGTCAGACATCTGCTTCTTTGTGAAGACGGGGTAGATGGATTCGCTGCGAGTTCACAAGTAGGAACTCTGACGTTTCATTGTACTTTTACTGTCAGGAGGGCGAGATCTGAGTTGTCTGGAACGCAGCAAAACTCACATTTGTCATTTTTAAACTTGTAGTCTTCAGGACATTTTTTCAGACTTAACACAGCTCCCTCTGGAGACACAAAAGGCTTTATGCTACCTTTTTTTTCACGTAAGCAGCAGTCTAACACCTGGAAAAGCACTTCTCCTTTAAAGGTGCAGAGTTTTTTCCACAAAAGCAATCAACAACCTTTTAGTCTGCTTCCTCGTGACCTGATTCTATCCATCCGTGCGTGTAACTAAACCCCACTCTAAAAACCTTTTTCTTCCAGCTCTGTGCGTCCAACCTGTGTGAAGCGAACCAGCAAGAACAATCATTCCCTCTATCGTGTTGTGTTTCTGCTGCTGTGTTGTTCCCCCCTCTAATGAGGAGCTGCAGGTTGAAGCAGGTCTAATTTCTCTCTCTCTGGCCCTCGACAAGAATCAGCGTTAGAGGGCTTTTTCACGCTCGTTAAAACCTTAAGTAGAGTCGTGTCTGTCTGTTTGTTGTTTCACTCTGGGAAACCTGATAGTGTCTTTGGAAGTATTTAGCTTCATGCAGAGTCACTCCCTGTCCTCCCCCCCTGCAAGCTGAGAATCCATCTCTTCAAGAATCAGCTCACGTCATCCGGCGTCTCCGCTGCATCGGCTCTCCCACATCCATTAATCTCCTTCACTCTCTCACCTCTGCTGCCTCTGTTGACTTCTTATTTCTTTTTCTTTTTCTCCTAATCATACCGAAATCACGGAAGCCTGTGTGCTCTTTACTTCTGGTTGTAAACTGGTGATGTACAGATTGTACACTGTGGTGCTCATCATGCATCATTCAGGATTAGAGTCTCATCTTAAACATGTAGTAGCATTTCCATATCGATGTTTCTGTGTGTGTATCATTTTAAGCATCAAATATTATAAAATTCAAATTAGTGTAAAGTGGAGTAAGCCAGGGCGGAGCCGCAGCAGGGCGAGCGAGCAGCAATAACCTCAGCGAACATCTGTTGACCGCATAAACAGCCACAGATCAAATGCTTTCTTAATGGAACAATATTCTATAATTTATTATCAAGACACACATTAAAGGTGGTATCAAGAAGTGAACTGATTTTCTACTTCAAGACAATTTCAACTCTAAAGGGTCAGTTTTTGTTGGTACATAAATGTTTATCATGAAGACAGTTTTGGTTTTATTTGACACCTGACACCACTGGCGCTTCTGCTGCTGCCGCCGATTACAATGGAGGTGAATGTAATTTGTTTTGTGTGTCATGGATATTATAGATAATCAGGTAATAAATGTTTTCCAGACTGCAGGTTTGCAGCGGCTACCTTCAGGACCTTTTTACGACGTCAGTCCAGCTTGTTAGAGCAGGACAGAATAATGCTGTCTAAGTTAAGATGGCTCAAATATGAATATCAGATGCTTAAAATGAACCTGCAGTCCACGCCAGCGAACACCAGCGCACAGGGAGTTATCACTATAAATGTCTTAACTTCCAGAAGTTTGATAAATATACACGTGTTATTTTGAACGTGCCAAACTAATCTGGCAGGATGACATTTACTAAAACTTGTCACAGATTTTATTATATTCCAGACACAAACTAAGTAAGTGTGATCACACTCTGAACTGTGAAAGTGAGAAGGAGGCTGGATATTTCTCAGACAACCTTTGATTAACAGAGGAACCTCAGCTGGCATGGCTGTGGGAGATTTTAGCTTCAAACTAGAAGCGGGCATTTTATTCCGGACGGGAGTCAATTTCACTATTTATCACAGCTTTTTATATATAAATATGCAGTTCTAATCAGGAATGGGACGTGTTTTTGTGAAAATGGGATGACACAGGAGTGAAAATCCACTCCTGTGTCACCATCTACTTCAAACACCAAAGATAACAGAGCTTAAATAGTTGCCTCATTGCTTCACTTACATACAGCAGGATCAACTTGTTAGTACAAAATATTAAAAACATTTCAAGTGCTTTAAATTAAAAGACAAAATGCATTGTTTGCCCCTCAGCAGGACAACATACTCACTGTGCCTTTCAAAACCATTACAAATCAGTTTTGTAAAAATAAAAGAATTTTCTGATCTTATACGGCTTTGGTCACGGTTTGGTTAGCTTTAGGGACTGTCAGTAGGAAAGGGGAAACAAACAGTGGCTTTTTATTAACCCATCTGACCGCATCACTCCTCCATCTGCTGACTTTGTAGCTCTATAACAACATCATCAACTCCCTTTGCTTCTGAGTGAAAAAAAGTCAGAATTACTGAAGCCGCTAACATCAATTGAATGTAAAAAACTTAATGTTTTTCTTGGGGGGAGAAGTCTCCTGCAGCTACAAGTGCCCGAGCAAAAGTCGTCTTAAGATTTAACCAAGAAGCTCTCTCATGTGAATTCACCAGAAGCAGCCAGAGACGAGTCTTTTCTTTACTCAAGGACACCTCAGCAGAGACAGACTATAGCCGGGATTGAACCTGTGACTGTCCAGCAACAGAACAGTCTTTAAAATGAACCTGCTGCACCAGAGATTATCGAACAGTGCTTCTGACACTGCCATTACCAAGTAATGTATAATATAGGAAGTAAATAAATTTGTGGTAAAATTAACTTAATTTAATTTTCCTGCAGAACACTTTAGGGAAGATTGATGCGAGTATATACCAGTTATTATGAATACAGTACATGATTACAGTTAGCATTTTAACAACTGTGTATCTACTAGAGTTGCAACGATCAATTAAATGATTACTGAACACTAAATTAATAGGCAACTATTTTGATTTGATTATTTGTCTACGTTATTTTTTAAGCAAAACTGTTTTCAGACACTAAAATGGGGATATTTGCTGTTTTTTTAAATTATGTCAACTTGGATTTTTGGAAATATCTTTGACATTGACATTTTATGGACCAAAAATGTTATCTACAGTGAAAGAAAACATGAGTTGCAGCCCTAATATCTACTAATGATTAAATTCTATTAGTTTTCCCATGAGTTTTTTGTGATTTAATGAATCTCAATGTTCAGCACTGAAGCACAATTGTTCAGCTTTTGTTCAGCTGCTCAGTTTCAGAGTTGGTTATTAAGCTGCTAACAGAAAGAAATTGCTCCAACCGTGACGAGGTTTTCCAATTTTGCATGCCTGTGTTGCGTATTTTGGTTTCTGAGCATTAGCTGTTGCTGGTCGACTACATCCGACATGTCTATGTGTAATATTTACAGTATATTTGTACTGCGAAATTAAAATGTGATACATATCTTAATAAACAGCTTTGAGATAGTATGTCAGTGTGTGTGTGTATATTAAGATTTTCTCACAAGTACAGAGTCACACACTCGTTTGTGAGCACACCTGTCTTATGAGGACATTATGGGTGTGTGTGTGTGTGTGTGTGTGTGTGTGTGTGTGTGTGTGTGTGTGTAGCTACATTACCCTTGGCTAACTGTCTCACTATACAGACCTTAATACATTAGCATAATAATACTTGTGTATACATAATTTACAGTGTCTGTGTTTACTCATTAAGGCATATTGTATCCTTACATCACATAAATAACATCTGTTTACATATAATACAAATAAGTAAGTAGGCGCTGTGTCATTAAAGGTTCAGTCCAGTCAAAACCAGCTTCTTCTCCAGAAAGGAAAAAAAAGACTGAAGACACCTTGATGTTTGTTCTTTTAAATCGAATGAACTGTTTCACTATTTAAAGCACAGTTCTACATTATTTTTTCATAGATTATATACTGATTATAATAATTGCTGTGCCCGTTAGGATTCATTTCAACATTCAATTAAATAAAACCAGGAAAGTCACAGCAGCTGAAATTGTGAGTTTTTCTTATCACAGCAGCAACTAGCATGTAGCACATGCTAGTTCCATTGTCCACTAAACTCTCAGGACCTTTAAATGTCAGATAATCATTCATTCGTATTTCAAAGGAGATTCTGATTGTGGATTTTCACTTGCAGCATTATACAAAGACTCTGATGTTGTGGAAAGTGATGCTAGATGCAGAAAATGCTGATTAGTCAACATGAGGCAACAGTTTTGAGTGATGCAGCATGAGACATTTGATATGTGACATGATACTTTGGAGATCTGGGTTGTTATTGTTTCATTCATGGGAAGCATCGTGTCATTGTATATGTAAAACTGTCATCTATGGCCTTGAGCCACCAGCGGTGAAAGTGTTAAATCACTCTGTCGGGTGAGAAACTGTTGGGGAGTTGACTTTCACGCCTTTACAGATTTATGTGTCTGGTTTTGTCACTTACAAAATTACATGTCTTTCCCGGCTGTCTGAGAATCACCTTCAAACAAATATGCAATCCAAACTAAATGACCCAATACAGCTACACAAAAATGGATTCGGCCGGGTAGAGACATTCCTGTGATGAAAACCAAATGTTTTTCCTTCATCTAGTTTCCACCGTGAAAAACAAAATGAATCGATTTGCGACCAAGACGCAGGGACAAAATCTGTGTAGGGTTGGATAAAAACACAAAAGAACCATCAAGGAGAGAGCGAAATGATTTCTGACAAACAACATCAGACTAGGTAAGAGTACAGATGAGCTGCTGGACTGCTGATGCAATGCTTTCTGGGTAATGTGTGTCACCCTCTTAACAATGATTCATATCAGTCCTCTCAGTCTAACACCTCTCTCTCCTCTTATCATCCCCTCCTACCTCTTTCTGCATCTTATTGTATTTCCTTACAGTCAAAAATCAATCAACTAAATATTTTAGAAATGTCAAATTTTAAAGCTGCATTAAGCTAATGTTTATTTTAGAGATATTTTTTATTGTTTTGCCTTTAATTGACAGAGTGAGGTGAAGGCACGAGAGGCAACAAAGGTCTCTGTCTGGAGTCAAACCGGCGAGATCAATATTTAACAAATTTAGAAAATAATTAAGAACAATTTAAAAAAATATTTTGAGAAAAAAAGTCATTATATTTAGAGATTAAAGTATAAATATTACAAGAAAAAGTCATGATATTATGAGAACAAGGTCACAGTAGACTTTAACACAGTCGTATTAATAAATCAAACAAATTGCTTAATGCAGGTTTAAATTGATCATCCTTTTTTTGAGGGCATGTGGTGACACAGATTAGATTATTTTATGCTTCATCTTCTCTACTGTTACTGACAATTTATTGCTGATGCTGCTGGTGGCTGTAAATGTCACGCTAGAGTTAAATATTAGTTTCAAAAGTGTTGCCTCTGTCAATTTGTGCGAGAGCTTTAGCATCACACTTTCCATGTTACTTTATTTAGACAGTCCAGTAATGACACTCCAATTTCCAACAGATGTAGCATGATAGACTACGTCAGATATTTAATGTTTGTGTTAAGGTTAGATTGGGCGTTTAAAGTGTGCCAAGGTGTAAATCTTGAACATCTTTTGTAGAGTTTCAACACCGGACGGACGTCATAAATAAAGTAATTTTTCTTTCTGCAGTGGCGACGAACCTCCAGGGCTGTCGGACACGATGTGCTTTATAATGTAAAACTCAGTCTCTGATTAACATACTAGGATTTATATAGTAACTGTAATCTTTGAAATTCAACCATTCATCTCCAAATGTGCTCTTTTCCACACTGGCATAGGCTTACCTCTCTTCTTCTACCGAGTTGAGCTCTCTTTTGTTAAGTAATACATCCCTTATGATTGGTTAGAATAAATATCCCATAAACTTGGTTTAGCGTTCATCCAAAAACGCCGGGTTAAAGCTGGGTCGCTCCAGCAGAGAGCCTTGTGCTCAAGATGTGCTTCTCCTGCCGGCACAAACAGGGGGCCTGCACCATTTTGCATCCCCGTTTTGCAACTGAGCGCTCACTCAGAGGAAGGCAAAACAGCTGCAGAGTGAGAGTAAAGCCCCGCTAGTTGACTCCATGTGCAGCATTTGTAGAAGAAGAGGAAGATGTGGCAGGAGGAGGGTGTCTGCTTGGTCCTGGTTCTGATTTGGAGTCCCCACTAGGTCCTGGCTGAATGTTATTCCCTGTCTCTGCACGTTCCACCAAAAAATCCTCACCTCCGTCCCCGCCCTCGCCGCTTACTGCCTCTCCAGTCGCCAGCTGCTTCATCCTCAGGTTGATGGAACCGTAAGTCCTCTTGGGTCGAACAAACGCCGCCCTGCGTCGGTACATCTCGCCCCGGCAGATGGACACCATGAGCAGCATAGACAGGAACATCCCTCCCAGGGTCAGCAGGCCCAGGCCTGCGATGATGCACTTGTCCAGGTGGGAGCCCAGCTGGGCGTAGTACATCTCCAGCTTCTCCATCTGGCGAGCCGACACGGAGTCCGGGTCGACTTTGGCCTCTCGCGGGATGGTGTAGGCTATGACCACCAGGACGATCCCGCTCACCAGGAACACCAGGGCGAAGATGAAGCCGTAGTCGGCAGAGTGATCATCAGCGGGGCTGAACTCAGTGAAGTCCTGGCCGTCCTCCTGCCCTCCACCTCCTTCCTCCTCATCATATGACCGCGGAGAGATCTCCTGATTCTGCTGCTCCCCCTAAAAAAAGACAAAAATTACAAACAAGAGCAACACATGACCAAGAATAAACCCAATATTTATAAAGGAATTGCAGGTAAAAACAGAGAAAACCAAGCTGGAAGCAAAAGTCTTTTAGTGTCAACATCTGAGTCACATTTTAAATAATGCAAGTAAGTAAATATCTGAGTACAGTGGCATCTGGCAAACAGTCTGGTCCACAGTGGCTGCCACAAATAAAAACCTGCATTGCAAATGTTGTTTCTCTGTTAACAGTATTGGTTAAGACCATTCAAGCCAAAAGACAACTTTATTTTAAAAGTGCCACGGAGCTATTTCCCGAAAATATAATCACGTTTTTCATATCTTTACAAGCACATTATGTTTTTGTTTTGCTTGAATCATTTTGTCATGGTTGATGTGACTTTTTTCAGAAGTTAATCTCTGGTTGTGTAACCAGACTAATGACATCCTTGTATAACATCTTGTGTAGGCCAAGTGCTCTTTAGTTGTATCCCACCCACCACTTTATCATACTTTATTTTTGCAGTCAGGTTTTGTTTGTGAGTAGCAGGGTAAAATATTTAATAATTAGGCTACTGTCACCTCACTGTAACCACATCACTGGTTAACATAATGAATGGTAGCCTTGAAACAAATGATAAAACAGAAGCAGTAACCACCCAACAAGGCTGAACTTACCTTGCTGTTGCCTGAAGCTGAGGGCGGACACCCCGCCGACGCTGTGGCCCCCTGCTGGTGGCCGAGCTCCTCGTCCTGCTGGTAGGAGGCGTTCTCGAACCCCCGGGCAACGCAGCCCACTGTGGCCGCTGTCCAGGGTGCTGAGGGTGGTGTCGGAGACACGCCTCGCCGGCCTCCACCACCCCGCAGCTCCCGGAGCTCTACGGCATTGAAAGAAGACTCCATCTAAATGTGTCCGATGTGCTCATGTCTTCACAACCCCTCTGCTCTGCATTATCCTCACTGAATAAAGAAAACATATGATTGAATGGACAAGAGAAAGTAGATACAGGTAGGCCTTTAATGTGTTAAAACTAACCAGACAGCCTGACATAATAGTCCCTACCTATTACTTTAGTGACATTAGTGTCTGTGGTGAAATCAATAGTGACCGACATCACTCTTTAAATATTTATATAGGCTACTGGTGAGTAAATCTACACATTAGTGACATGTAGCCTCATATTTGATATACTCTGGTATGTCCCTATTACTATTAAATACGTCTCCACTGAGGGTTTTTGAACCCATATCAATAAAAGTATTAAAAATCAATGATGAAAATGTTAAAAATCAAGCAGTTCTGCAGCACGAGGGAGGTTTCAGGACAGAATCAGTAGGTTATCCATCACACACACACACACACACACACACACAAATCATCTCAATCATGAGCATCTCACCTTGATAATTAAGCCTATTTATTTCCATTTTTCTTTCATCATCGCTGTCACTTCCTGTTGAGACATGTATGGACAGTTAAAACCAGATCCTAAATCCTAAACAGATCCATCACTATAACACCATCCGCTCCTCACACATACACGCATGTGCACAGGAGGGTGTTGAAAACACAAGTGACATGAAAACAAAGACAGCAGTGAGACAAATGTCTCTGAAAAAAATAGCCTACATTTAGTTTTATTTTATTTCACAGAGAATAAATTCACAGTGTGTTCATGGTTAACACTGTGGGTGTGAACCTCATCCAAACAGCAGTTTCGCTCCAGGTTATTCTAATTCTAATTATAATAATTATAATGAAAAGCCTGTGTAAAAGCAGTGTGATGGTCTACATTAGGCTACAAGACTATAGTTGATCCTCTTGACTCAGTTAGCCATGAGGTGTAGCCTAACTTTATTTATAAAATGCGCCCTTTTCATTTCACTTTTTTGTATTTAATCTCCGGGAAAGCATCACATGTGTTGTCTCTGCAGCCGGTTAATCTCCGGGGAGCACCAGACTAAAGTAGCCCACTGACACAGTTACCATCTATCGTTACATCAAGCCCCGTGGCCCGCAGACAGCCTGAGCGCCCATGGGTAAGGTGTCCGGCAACACCATCACTGTGACCTTGTGATGCGCCAAACTGCCAAAACCTGGACCAACACACTCCGTCTGTGTGTGTGTGTGTGTAGGAGAGATAATATCAGGATCAACCGGGACTGATAAGCACCACACCGACTGACATGTTGTTCATTATCCAGACCTGAAGGCAGATAACACGGACTGAGAGAGGAGGGGGAGTCCGAGCCAGAGCGGGATCTTATTCAGAGTTAAATTATACAACGGAGCGACACAAGTGACGGTTTCTCCGGAGGGAGACACCGGGAGATGGATTCAGTATCCAGGCAGGCAGCATCCACCCAGTTCCCCGCTAAATCCGGATTAAAAAAAACATCGCCTGTATCATCAAACATCTGCGGGGAAACCGACGAGAGGGCGTAAAGAGTCGTTCACGTTAAGCGATCGGTATGACAGCGGGGTCTTACCTGGAGCTGATGACTGCTTTGGACATCTCATCCGGAGAGATGGATGCTGCTGGATCATGTGTGAGGAGGAGAGAGAGAGAGAGAGAGAGAGAGAGAGAGAGAGAGAGAGAGAGAGAGAGAGAGAGAGAGAGAGAGGGAGGGAGGACCGGGGTTAACTGACCATGCGCAAAACCAGCCTGTGGTTCTCTCTGCTGGTGTCTGAAGAGCTGGAGCCAGAGATGGACAGATAAATCACCCCCGAGAGGTGTGGTGGGGGAATATGCATTAATAAATTAATAGGGAGAGTGCAATGCAAGTGTGTAGGCTACAGCATCAGTCAACTGCGATGACACCAATCAATGAGACGATTAAAACTTAAATCTGACTGGTACAGAAACATTATTGTGGGACGCAGGCTACAATAAAGAAATTATGACTCTTTTTTTGTTTCAACCCGCATTTTGTAATTTTGATGTCGCCCTAACTCCTCCAAATTGTAGCTTATATTTAATATACAATATATTTAAAAGAAAACAAACTTAAAAAGGATCCCTCCTCAGTCACACTAAAATCTCAGTATGGGAGGAATGATTACAGATGAGTGAATGTTGTTTTAAGACAGGGTTAAAAAAAGCCTAACCTATCATCTACACATGTCTACCATGTTCACCATGCTAGCATTTGCTAATAAACACTAAACATGAGGAAGGCTGAAGGGACAGCCATTAGTTTTGCAGGTTTATGCCATTTGTTTTGGTCCTATTTGAAGTCAGGTGATCACCAAACATATTTCCATCTTGACCAACCAGCTGCTAGCATGGCTAAATGGCTCATGTGGGTGAGTTCAAGTATATGTTTAGCCTTATATCACATAGGCTATATATATAGAATAATTTAAATAGCCTACAAAAACAACAAGACTAACCAACAAGAAATACAAACTGAACATAGAAATTAAACATTTAAATTACCATTAGCCAGCAGCATCATGTTCTTGTATCTAAATATATTTTGCAAGCAAAGAGGAAATTTATTTTAAGTTTAAGTTTATTCTCCTCCACCTGTTTCAGCTCAGGAAACAGTTGTGATCAAAATGGCCGAGGTCTCTCAGATGTGAAACAACATCTGTCTAAAAAAGAAAATCTCATGTAACAAAGACAGAGAGATAAAAAAAAAAAAAAAGCTATTAGAATAAACATAGCAACACAATCTGCCTTTGAATTCCACACAAAAAACGGGATGATGTGGTAATCATTGATCTCCTCACACCATCAACATGTGGAGGATTAACCAGTCAGTGGTGTAAAAAACGTGCTCCGTCTTGATGTGCAAAGATGTTAATCTCCACTGAGAAACCACTCCTGCTGCCATGGCAACACATATCCAGCACAGACATGAACATTTTTATATAAAAACGGAATCAATTTTATTTCATTATCGTTCAAAATCTTTTTATCTTTCACATGAATAAATGTCTGTTCTCTGTCTTTTTGCTGATATCTGCAGCAGATTTATCCGGCCGATCACAGCTGCTGCTCTGAACACTCGGCTGGGTTTTTTATCCAGAGGGAAACATCCTCAGACACACAGACTATTAATCCTCAGCTGCACAGGCTGATGGGCTTCATCTCTGCAGCTGTTTGTCTTTGTGAGAAATACAACAAGAGTCGTGTATTTTTAAAACACTGTTCTGGAGAAAAATCCATCACAGAAATCACAGAAGATAGCGGCGTCAAAAGACCAGAATGCACTGCAGCTACGTGATATAAGTAGGCATAAAAGATGTTCCTTTCAGGTTTATTAGAAAACTGTCACTCCTGTTATCTGTTTTTGGTCAACCGAACACCAACAGACGACTACAACAACTCCACTCTATATTTTTCTTCAGCAAAACCAACAGTGAATGTGTCTTTTAACAAGTGTGTGTGTGTGTGTGTGTGTGTGTGTATCACAACCTCATTTATCTTCTTTCTCTGAGCCATAAAGCTCCTTTGTTGTCCAGAAACCATTAAAACACATGTGTGAGCATCACTGCTGCACTGGGTGACATGTTCATTCATCACCATGAACACACACATTGTAGTCTATTCTATACACCGTCCTGCTGCCCCCAAATACTCACTACAGCAACATATGTGGATTCATCCTCTGCTGAAAATAGTCCCTGACAAATGCACTATTTTCTCCTGTTTTTTGATAAAAACTACGACTACTTGTGTCGAGAGACGGACTAACACGTTGTAGCTTTCCTTTTTTTAATGTGGTTTGTCGACAATAAAAAAACAACATTGAACAACAGTGACCTTAACCTTTAAAGGGTTGTTGAAAAGCAAAGAGTCCAAGAGCCGAACAAACGTCAAGAGTTTTAGACATGTATTTGGTATTTTTATGTACCTGTAGAAAAACGTTTTCCTCAGTGACAATGAATTAAAATTGGTGACTTTTCTGATATTTGCTAAAATTATAAGTCTTGATTTGTAATTTCTTGTCAAATGTTGCAAATATAAGCAAAACGTTAACTGTCACAAACAAATAGTCTTTGCAAAGTGTTGTAGGTTATAAAACGACTAAGACTGTTTACAGGATCAGACCAACACTGGGACATGAGGTTTAGCTGTTGGACAAGTGGTTTACATGCATTTAGCCTCCATTTTTGCTTTTGGCCACAGAGATTGAAGAGCAGGCAATGGGAGAGTTAGAAACTGAAAACAGCTCATGAATTAAATGAAACATCCCCCACCGATTCCACAGGCGGGCCTTCCCTGTACTCGACTGAGAGATACTGAACTTGGCCTCAGCGCTTCCTGTCTATCTCAGCGAAGGAAACACCAGCTGTCTTCGAGAAGCCCTCCATGTAAAAGGCAGCCGCCCGTGAAATGTAGAATAATCTCATGTCACGGTGGCTGGGATTGGTTTCTCCCTGCCTCAGGCAGATTATCAGCGCTCACCTTGTGGAGATGTAAGGTCAGAGGAAGTGTGGCGTGTCAGTCGCTGCACAGAGGAACCTCTGAGAGGCTTTTCTGCTTCCTTACAGAGGTGGCCTAAATACTTTGCTGGCTAATTTTAGATCTGGCCATTGTATTCAGTTTAACAGGATGGAGAAAGAATATAGTATTCACAAGGATATTAAGCATTATGGATTTATTTTCATTCCTCAGAGTGTTCAGTTACTGAGAACCTGCGGCAGGATTCTCTACATTTCTCTTTTACTTGCCTAATATATTCAAGAGATTTGTATTTATCACAGGAAAATGAAACAGTACCATAAAAATGCATCACACAGACAATTAAACAGAAAAAACCCTGATAAAAAACTATGTGCTACGATACAAGCTAACCCTTATTAAAACTAAAAACATGTTTGTAAAACCTGTGTGGGTCGCCTAATTTAAAAACTCTGTTATATGCGAATACGCAGAGATTTTCCAGGAGGAAATGCATTAATGCGTTAATCTACATTGTATGAACTCAATTGGCGAGTGCTTGAATGTAACATATTTATTTATATCTAACAGTCCTGAATTCTAGCTTTAAATTAGACAGAAGTTTACTTTGCTGACGATATTGCAAAACCACTTCGCAAATTCCTTTTAAAGTGACTCTGCCAATAAAACTTTCTGGTATCGGTATGGCATTCTGTCACAAATTATAATCTACTTGATGTACATAAACAGTGCTGTGTAGATTACTTTCTGCAAGTGGTAATTAAAAGGTGTACTCCAGCAAATGTAAGTATAGTAATTCCATGAAGTCAGCGGGTCTGCAAGAGACAGATTTAACAAGCCTAAGTGGGGATTCAGACTGAAAACAGCCCGGAGTTATAACAGCGTGGCTGCGGTGAGACATGAAATCTGATCCAGGAAGTCCAGGAGAAACAGATTAATGCATTTAAATGTGTATCAGATGCCAAAATGCAGCACAGCGGTTTGTAACACTTAACATGTGGCAACTATTTTATTTTTTGTCACAATAGAAAAAGCCTGCCTAATCTACCAATAACATGCACTTGCATGTATTTGATTGGCCATGGCAGCATCTTGCTGGACTCCTCTGTGTTGCAACCTGAGAAAAACTACAACTACATACTCCTCATGACGAGTAAACTGATCTTCATTTTTATATATATTTAAACATGCTGCCTTTTCAATAAAATCTGCATTAACTGATCTGTGTTAAAAGGTCAAAGGTTAAGGAGATCAGCATGTTGATGTACTACAAAATGAACATGTTGGAGATTTGAAGGTCTCTATCGGATGATGAAAGTCACGTCCATCCTGGTATCTTGTATCCTTTATGTCATGGAAGAGAAGAATTCACAGTGCAAAGGGTGGTAAAAAACCAAAAATGATACTCATTTTCTATTTTTCCCAGATCACACGCTGCACAAATTTGACTTCTTTTTTCTTCCAAAGCAGCAAACAGACCTGTTTCAATGTGGAGAGGCAGCTCTAATCTGGGCACAAACACACATTTTGAGAAATGGAAGTAGCCTGTATTTAACACAACTTTGTTCTAATTTACACTATATCCCACTTTTCCTTAACAAAATGGTAATATTGTTTATTCTTGTTTCACTCTTACTCTGGAGTTTCCCTAAAAAGACAACTGGAGGGCCCCACACACCATGTTGGGAACCTCTAGACAGCAGAATAACATATTCATCAACAGACGGGTGAAAATCACTTTGCACCTACACATGTGAATCATCTCAGCGTTATTTTTCAGTGAAACTGTTGAAGGAGGTGTGTTGTCGTGGTAACGAGCAGGTGGAGAACCAACGGGAACTCGACGTTCCTCAACTCACACACAAGAAAAAAAAAGGGAGGAAACCCCAAGTTTTTAATAGAAGTTCAGGTAAGTTTGAGTAAACAAACAGGACGTTAACCGGCTGTGGTCTTATATTATATTCTCACAGATGGAATCAACAGCAAGATGAGAACTTCAGAAAGGGACTTTAACTTTGTTGGTACAAAACATTGTGAGTGAGTTGGTGAAAACTCAAGACACACCCGCAGGCAGTCGATCATCTGGATACTGTTCATGTATAGACTACAGGTAGGACAGCTCTATGAAACGCAAACGTATCCGTACATGATCCAACCCAGGATCCTGTTGTGCATGTAAACACACTCAATGAAATGCAGGTGTTAGGAATTCCTCCTCAGCAAGAGGAACACACCTTTCCTCTGAGCTGCAGGGTGCGTTCGTATGAGACATCTCTCTGGTAACAAGGTTTAAAGCTGCTATAATCTATCTTTTTATAGTAACAATGGAAGGAATGAGTACTTGTGATGTGAGACAGACGCCGTTAGAGACGAGCTTGTGAACATAGTGGAGCATTTAGCAGTTAAAGAGCCAGATATTTCCCTGAGGAGCTGGTGGAGACCAAAAACAGAGCTAAGAGAGGGAGAATATTGGCCTTAAATAAAGTTACTGTTCCTCTGTGTCTGCTGGATTTGTACAAAGGTAACTGTAGGCAACAAACAAATCAGGTAATTCAGGTTTAAAACTGCTCACAAACAAGAAAAAAATGTGTATTTTCCTGAATCAGCTGTTTAAGCCCTCAAGAAAATAATTTATGTATAAAAAGTTCTACATTTCATGAGTCGGCACAGACAGTAAGTGTTTCAGAAGGAGCTCCGGTGTTTTGTTTACGTTATCTACAAAATCTTTTTGTTTACTTATTATTTCCAGGCCTGAACAACATACTTTAAACACAAACCACTGACAGCACTGAGACCCGATGTGTTCATATACGTACTTACAATTAATAACTCATATTTATTAGTGCTAGGCAACCATTAAAAATATTAATTGCATTAACTGCAATTAATCTCATTGTTAGGCGCAAAATTGAACAATGAATTCTGCTTTTAATTTCAAACTTCTACATACACAGACTGATCCTCGCTGTTAGTGAGTTTGCTATTGTTACTCTCAATAGAGCGCCGGCCATTTACTCGCAGAGCGCGGTCTTTTCTGGAGCTTTTGATCACGTTTCCAAGGTTAAGAATGAAACTATAAATATAAAAAGAGATTCAGTATTTTTCTTTGAAACAGCATAAAATAAAAAAAATACAATTAACAAGAAACTGTGCCTACACGAGGAAGACAAATGAAACAAAGAAGTCAAATGAATGAACACAGAGTGCTCAAAGAAAATTTATTGTACAAAACCTTTGACTGTTTGTAGAAAATACAAATTTCCTTGAAGCGAGAAACACACCAGAGTGACACAAACTGCTTTCCTGCTTACAGATTTCCATCGATTATTGTATTTTTTGGCTGTCTCTGTGCAAAATCTACACTCTTACTTGTCATTTACAACTGGTTTTCAGTGTCACCTTTGCTATTGTGCTTTTAGTAAACCAGGTATGAACAAAAACAGTTTACATGAAATCGTTTAGAAGTCATAGATTGTTTTCTAAAATGTTAAATTCAATTTTTTTAAAAAGAAGTGTAGATACTACACACTCGAGTACACAAATGCTGCTTCAATCGAGCACGCTTGTTAGCATTAAGCCTATTATTACAGCATTACAACATTAAATGGTTCATAAACACAAACCAGGAAGATTAAAAGGAAACTGTAAAACTAATTATCAAAAAAGAATGAAAATTCAATTTTCCCTCAGCAATAAAATCTCTACAGAGTAGAGATCTCAGCAGATTTTGGGCTAGAAGACGTTTAATAGTAGAGAATGTACATTGGAGCTTGATTTGTCTCATCTTCCTTTCTATGTCTTAAAGGAAACTATATACACAAGTTCAGGGTTTGACTGTTCAAATAATGGTACCTGAAAGTGAAGGATGATGAGCTACAGCCTCTAGAAGGTTAGAGAATCGAACCTTCATAAATTTAGATTAAAAAATGCCTGATAAAGGTCGTCTGACTCGAAGCTTACAATAACAAATGGACTGAAAGTGTCGAGTGTTTACTTGTCCTTAGTGTGATAGGTCATCCGTACCACTGTAAAATACCTGCATTTAATTCCTGGATTTAATAAAGGTTTATACAATAATGGTAATAATATAAACACCTTCTTCTGGAATTTACTTGCTAAAAAGGTGGAGTTGTTTTATTTATAACTATATTGTTTTCCTCTAACCCAACAGACTCCCTTTGCCAGGATTGGTTGTCACTGAATGTCATGATGAAGAGACTGAAGTCTGAGAAATTTTAACTGCCAGAGAAAATTATTTAGAGTGCTTTGGGAGTCTGATGAGAGAGCGAGTATGTGACCGAGCTTCACAAATAAGGGATTTAAAGTCTGCTGTAATGGAAGAATTTCATGTTCCACTTTTACAAAAGAAAAAGGCTTTGAGGACGTGACCTGAAAGCTTTCCTATCTGCAAAATGTATTTTTCAACAGTTGTTGGAAAAGAGGGGGTTGTCTTTTTGGGCATTTTGGACTTTTGGGCACTCTTTAAAGAGCAACCTACTCTTGCTGCCATCTAGCAGCTAAAAATGTTTAGCAATGGACAATAGTGCAACACTAACACGGATCTGCTGCATTTCAGTTCACCTGAGTTACTGAGTTAAAGGTGAAAAGGTAATAAAAGTGAAGTGTCTCAGTGATTTGATTCTTGATGTGGCTAAAATATCACATTTTAGATATTGTTACTGGTCTCAAAGTCAATATTTTGTGGTTGTGTCAACACTAGAATTACAAGATGCTTTGGATCAAACTAAACAGCATGAATTATGCCATTAATTCGCTGCACAGGTTCTATGACCCTCAGGTCATATAATATACATAAACGGTCAAAATTAAACGAGCGTCAGTGATGAAAAATCACTCTTACTGTCTAGTTCCATCATTTCAGAGGAAGAGCTCTGTAATGAAAATGCATTCATTACTTTAATGTTTTACGTGTTTCTACGTCCATCAGTGACTCTGCCGCTCTGACACGACGTCCTGCAGACGCTTCAGCAGCACGTCCGGACTGCTGCCGTTCTCTGGACACGCCCTCTTGCTGGGGGAGTCGCACGCTGGTGACATCATCACGTCACCCTCCATGGTGAAGGCCCTCTTCCTGCTCACGCAGCCCTGCCGGATCATCCGGTTGATGTCCGATAATTCCTGCATGCACGGGCCGACAGAGACGAGACAGAAGAGGAAGAGAGAGTCAAGCTTACTGTGAGTCTCAGGCCTGCAACTATTGATTATTTTCATTACGTATTCATTTGCCAATAATTTTTTCAATTAACGCTTTGTCAATGAAGTGAAAAAGAAAATGCCATCATACATAACTTCAATGATTAATTGCTTAACAGAATAGTTGCAGATAATTATTCTGTTGATCTGTTATGATCGTCAGTCTGACTTTTTAACAGCTTGTAAACTGAAGCGTGTGTTATTCTCTTGTATAAACTCGTTTTGTATGCATCTCATGTCTGAACTCTCCCAATGCACACCAAAACACACATCGGAGAGCTTATATAGCTAAAATCTGTTTTCAGTGTTGAGTTATTCTGGTTTAAACATTTGAACTTAACAGTGCAAAACATCCTGAGACAACAAAGGCACATATATGAAGCTCTCAAGTCATTTAAAGGATGTGTCCATGCTGTAAAATAAGGATATAGAATAAAAAGGTAGAACTTACCACTCTGCTTTTTTACAGCAATACTAATTTGCAGATTCTCTCGATCACAATTTAGCCAGTCAACATTTCCTGCAGATTTTTCACGTTTAAAGTCAACCAATAAAAGGAAGTCTATTTCTGTTATAGAAGAGAAACTCTGAGCAGCGAGTGTGTCTGTTGTTGTCCTGATAGATTTAGTGCCGAAATGCAGAAATGCTAATTACACTGAAAGACAGCAGGTGAACATGGAGAAAGTGTTGAGTTTGCATTAATAACAGCCTTTGGTTCTCTCTGCAGCTGAGGTAAATACATTTACTCCAGCTTTCATTTCTCACCAGCCCAGCACACGATGGCGCCACAGCTGAATTTAATAATCGAAACGTTAATTTTCCAGAAGACACTGTGTTAATGTCAGGAGGACAGAGGCAGCCGTGATCTTGCATATCAGAAACACAACAACCCTCCCGTGTGTGTGTGTGTGTGTGTGTGTGTGTGTGTGTGTGTGTTCTTGCCTTGGACGGGCTGCTGTTGATCCTGTAAGTGTAGGAGTTTGGTGTGAGGCAGCTGGCAGAGTTCTTGTGAGGGGAAACGTACAGCGAGTGTCTCTGAGAAACTCGACGAGGAGACAGAGGCTGAGCCCGAACCGACGGGAAAGGAGAGAGAGGAGGAGCGTCCGCCTGAAGAATCAAACACACACACTCAGATTATGTAACCGCTCGTTAAGTATAAGGAGCTAATTTCATTATACTGAACCCAGTTTTCTGCTCGGGGACAAACTGTGAGAGTGTCGTACCCGGTTATCGTGGGTGGCGTATCGCAGCGCAAAGCTTTTCATCTTCAGGACGAAAACACTGTTGTAGAACTGGATGAGGTCCCCGCGTTCCTCCTCCCCCGATTGGTTGGATTTTGCGTCTCCTGACACCTGACTAGTTTTCTCCGCAGCTGATGAAACACACAGATCAGCCGTTTTAAGTCATTTGCCAAAAAACAAAAATCAGCCAAACTATTTGTCGGCTCCAGCTTCTCTGATCTATCATCAAAAACTGAACTTTCTTGTTTTGTTTTATCGGACATTTTTAGAGCTGCAATGACAAGTAAATTAATTGATTAGTCGATGGAATGAAAATTCATCTTTAACAATTTTAAAGACCAAAGCTCGGACTCGGGTCTGGAACCCTTTGAGGTGTTGCAAGATGAACCTGAGCAATTAACTGATGATTAATGAAATAGTAAATAAGAAACATTATGTTCTGCTACTCAAATTTAGATTCAAATTTGAAATAATTTTGGCTGCTGAGGGTCTGAGGTCTTTAAGAAAGAGATCTTCAGTACACAGGATGTGTTGGTTTTTAAAACAAACATCGCTTTGGTTAAACTGTTTTCAACTCATATACGAACTGTAGACATAATGTGTTTAACTTGTGACTGACTTGTGCTTCATTAGAAGAACACGCACCGCGGCTTTAACCGCAGGCCGCCATCTAAGAACACACAGTGTGTTTATTAACCCCTAGTTGCTCCAGAGGTGTGTGACCTCTGACATAAAAAACAATTGTAAGTTGCTTTAGACAAAAGTGTCAGCTAAATGAATAAATGTAAATGTGTTTATGAAGCACTTGTGTCTGTGATCTTACATTCGCCACCAGAAACAGGATCCACCTCCATGTTCTCATCAGCCACCTGCTCTCTGGAAGTGCGACACAGTAGGACGCTGCGGTACACCTACACACACACACACACACACGCACACGCACAGAGAATCACATATAAAGCACTGTTGCACAATGAAATTATGATCACAGGGGCTTTTTAAAGCCAGCTTTAAGGAGACAGGAACTGCATTGTAATTATTTTAATTCATTCATTAATAACTGTTATTCATTTTATGATTTTATCACAATTTGTCTTTATCTCAGAAATTATTATATAATAAGGATTACATAAATGCAGTTTTTACGTTTTTCAGTAGTTTATAGATGGACGGTTGTTGTGTCCTATTATATCATAGTTGTGTGTACGTTTGTGCGAGCGAGCATGTGTATGCGTGTGAGACTCACAAGGCTGCTGGCCTGTGGTTGGCTGCGGTAACACTTCATGATGTCGTGGAAGGTGTGAGTTTCTTTGGTGATCTACAAGGAAAGAAAAACAGGTTAACAGGTTTCTCAACAACTTTTTTACAATTGCACATCCGTCAATCCAAAGTCCGACTAAAACTGAAAACTAGCACAAACTTGCCTCTAATAGTCTAAATGAGTCTGTTTCCACCACTGAACATTTGACTGTTAAGAAATAAGAAATGCTTCCAAAATAAATTAGAAATTAAAAACCTTGTTAAGATGCCAGAAATGTATTTTACCGTGAGGCAAAACTCCACCCTTGAAACAATAACAGCCATTTAATAATTAAATGTGAAGCATTTGGTGAACAAATTAGTTTTCTCACTTTGGATATAATGTAAACGCAACACAGCAGCAGCTGGTCGAGGTGTCGGTCCCGCATCAGATCGGTACAGTGGACCAGAGCGTGTTCGAAACACGTCCAGATCTTCCCTCGCAGCTCCGATGAGATGTCCAGCTTCACACACAAATCCCTCAGGCGTACGCTGGCCAGGTGATACACCTGGAAACAGACACAGGGGAGACGAGTAGGTCAGAAGACTGACACAGTGTTTATATTCGATCAAAGTAGAAGCTAACCCTCTTTATGTGGAAATATGTTTTTACTGAAACGAAGAAAAAAATCAAATAAAGCTGAGTCCTGAAAAATTAAACAATTTTTTTGCATGCACAGAAGATGACAAAGTGTTTTAAAGGGGAAAAATAACTTTTTTAAACATTAAAACATTTTCAGTTCCAGGTGTCGGGGAGTGGAGCTGCAGCGAATAGTTGTTTAATCAATTAGTTGATGTTTGTTTCCTGAACAGACTCCACAGGAACATGACAAAAGGAAATCATAATCGATCTTATTTCCTTGAACAAATGATGATTTATGTCAAGTCAGTTTTATTAATAAAGCCCAGAATCACAAATTCAAAGAACAAAAACAGCCTCTATCCTGAGTCCCTCGATTCATGCTTCTAAGTCACAGAAATCACATCTTTAAAATGGCCGACGATGATGATGACGTCCATCTGAATGTCAATATTGCGTATCTCCTACCTTCCTAAAGAACAGAGCGAGCGATCCGGTGCGTCGCGGCCGACCGCTTCCGGCCTGGGGGTCAGCGGTCGTGGGTGCGGAGGTGACCCGGCTCGGGGAGGCGGTCAGCAGGAACTGAGCGGTGACGGTACCAGAGGAGTCACACGGCTGAACTGGGATCAGTGTAATAGTGCGGTCGTTGTTCATACCTGAAGACATGCATCAGGTGTCAGAAATCTTTCTGGGAGAAATCTTGTTGCAGGTGATGTCATGCATTCATTGGAAAGCATCCGTGTGATAAGCTATAAATTAAGGAGCTGATTGGCTACCTTGCAGCGGGATACTCAGGACGGTGGTCTGGGTACTATGAGTACCGATCCTCAGGGTATTGCTCGAGCCGAACATCAACCTCTTGGCCGGTGACGACAACGGACTCCCACTGGGGGCCACTCCTGTTGTCGGGGCCGGAGGGTCGTCACCGAAGAGACGCCGTTTAGCGCTGCCAGCTGCTGGGGAGCTGTACCGGTCATGGACCGACAGTGGAGAGGGAGGCACATCTGGAAGGGGTGAAGGAAAAACAGATATTTAGGTTTATCAGAGCTCACGTGTAACCTGCATACACAAAGCATATACCTGAACGCTCACCTTTGCGTGCGCTGACCTGGCCTAATCTGAACTCCCTGATGCGGGGGTGGATGATGGGAGAGAGAGCGACAAGAGGCAGGTGGGACTGGCCTCCGCTTGTAGAACCAGAAACAGAACCAGGACCAGAACCCGTGTCAAGACTGGAGGAAAAATTTACCTGAAAAGAGAGATGAGAGGAAATAGTTGCTGAGAGGAGAGAGACGACTAAGACAACGAGAAAGTGAAATAAAGACAAGAGGAAGAAAGTCTGTGCCGACTGCTGCTCAGAGATACAACTCGTAAATTGTGGCTATAAACCGCTCAGTGCTACAAGGGGGAGAAATGCATTGGATAACCTAAACTCAATTAAGTTGGGCGACACTGTCTTTTGGCTGAGCTCAATGAGCGAGCTCTGTCAATTCAGACCTGAAGAATAGGTTTTAATCTCAATTCCCTTCTTATTCTCACCTTTTTCCTCATTTCCTTCTACACGTTCTGTCCTCATATAAAGTGTCCTAATTAAAGTTGTTCGGTGCAGGAAGTTATGTTTCACAATGTTTGTGTATATCTGTGTAAATTTTATTCTAGAAAGTTGAAACAAGTTGAATTTAATGGAGAAATGTTCAATAAAATAATAACTTTCTCTCACTCTCAATGCAATTCAAGAGATAATCTTTGTTTAGTATGTGTGCATCTACATGCAGCTGTTTATAAGTAAGTGTGCGCGTCTCTCTGAGTGTGTGTTTCCTGCCGACCTCCTCCACTGTTGGGATTTTGTTCCCAGCAGCCTGCAGGGCGCTCCACAGGGCAGAGTCTGTGCTCCACGCTCTGCTCTCCAGAACCTGTTCCTCAATCAGGTTCAGATGCTTCACCATGTCTCTGGACAGGCCTTCCTCTGAGCGGATAAACACCTCAATGACCTGCACGCACACACAATAAATCCAGTTATATTCATAAACAGCTGGGAAACTTTACTATTTATTTTATGACTTAGGAAGATGTTTTATGAATTGTGATACAAGTTTCACTCATGACGTAAAGACACTGGCAAAATATTCCGGTGGAAACATGTAAATGGAGGCTGACAGACACATGTTTGCTTTAGGTGACAAGGTGTCTCAGCTTGATCAACGAAGTGAAATCTGAGCAGTTAAATTACATCTCTGGCTATTTGTGTTTAAATATATACTAAAAAAGTGTATATGTTTCTGAGTGTGTCCGACCTTGAAAAAGTAGAATGGGGTCAGTTTGAAGATGTTGATGATCCAGGGGAAGGTTCTCTGGGAGCTGTAGGAGAACAACACGACCTCCAGACAACAGGCCATCAGGGAACAGTGGAAGATGTCCTGCTCCAATAGCACCTAACACACACACACACACACACACTTACTCAAAGAGACGTCTTCACACCGCCAGCTGATAAATTATCACAAAACACTTAAACACTGGAGACGTCTAATGATATAAAGGAAGGTAACATAGACAAGAAGACTCATACATGGACGTTCTTGGGAGCAGCACATGCAACAAATTAGACTTAACTTAAAGGTCAACTTGCTTTTTTTCCTGTGCTTTCAACCACATCTGGTTGAAATAGAATTAGAAAAAGCTAGTAAGTAGACCCTTGAGTTCTGTCACACAAATAAAGATAAGAAAGACACTGTAGCTGCTGCTTACACTCATGTCTTTGCCGTGCAGCCGTTTGGTCTCCTGAACCAAGACGTTCTCCAGGATCTTGTAATAGAGGATCTCGGCAAGTTTCAGCCGGTTCTCTGCAAAGTCTGAAACAAAAAGGCAAAAGGAAGCTCATTTATATACCACGGTGATTCTGCTGCATCAGTGATCCCAGTATTTTGTCCCAGGTTCCAAACTGAGAAAATAAATAAATAATAATAAACAAAAACAACATATATATTTTTATAGCGCCTTTTCAAGGATGCTTTTCACATAACTACAGACACACAACAAACAACAAAAGGAGGTCATTCTAGATTATATGCCTTGGTAAAGAGGTGGGTTTTTAGAAGGTTTTTGAAAGTGTCCAAAGATGGAGCACCGCAGATCTCTGTGGGGATCGAATTCCAGATGGTGGGGGCTGCAACGCTGAAGGCTCTGTCCCCAAAAGTCCGCAGTCTGGTGTGGGGGACAGAGAGCAAGCCCTTTGTAAACAATAAAGTATGTTTACGTTGTCGGTGGACCTTGCTGGGTACTCCATAAAGGACACCATTGCAGTAGTCCAAGCGGGAGGTGATGAAGACATGAGTGACTCTGCCACAGGGTCGAAGTCAGGAGATATTATTTTTTAGTTGATATTTTTTACTGCAGCTGGAGGATTCAGTGGGAAGAAAAGATCCTCTTATAACATGACGTATGTTGGTTGAGGCAGCTCCTGGTGGAGACATCGGCACTGTTACGGTACAAAATGGTGAGACTGACAATTGTTTTTGAATGACTCGCCTGAATGTTTATCAAATATGCTTCATTTTGTTTGTTTCATGGAATTTGAATCCAGTTTTAAAATGTTGTTACACACAGAACATTTAAATGTCAAATGTGAGGAAACTGAGGATACCCCACCAAGAAATAGTTGTGTTTATTTGTGTGCACGCGTGTGGTGTACCTATGTGAGAGCCAGGCATGTCCTCTGAGTCGTTGGTGTAATGTTCTTTGAAGGTTTGTCCCAGCGTCTTTACTCTTGCCAGGATGGCCTCTGTGGGATCTCTGGAGCACGACCTTAAATAACAGCACAGGACACACGGTTTTATATACACAAAATATACAGTAACGCACCTTTAAATTAAAGCAATGTTTTTGACCAGTTCTGTGTTTGTAGTTTCAAATGTTTAGAATTTAAAAGCAGTATGTGCAACTGAAATCCCAAATTAAACAATGAAAATGTGTCTAACGAAAAGTAGAAAGCAAACTTTTTTAATTAAATGATTATGCCATGTTCTAGCCATGTTAGACAAAGTACTTCTGAGAAATTCTTCCAAACCTTCATTTATTTCTGGAATTCAAATTTTATGTCTGAGGAGGAAATGATGACTGATAAATGAATCATTTGGTCTTCACAAGTAAGTGGAATCCAAAGTCATGTCTGAAACTTTGACCAAAGAAAGCAAATCTTTAAAAAAGGAGCTGTAAGTGACAATCACTACTAAATGTTGCACTAGAGCACCAGCATCAATCAAAACAAACTCCACAAAAACAGTAATTTTAATAAAACACACTTCATTCAATCATTAAATCATGTTCCAACAATCACCAACTCTGGTTTGGCTTAAGTAAATCCTTCACCGTGTTACATGAGCAAAGAAACGGCCGTTGTTGAGCATGCATGCACTAACATGCACGCACAGCCGGACCGGCCATCGAATCAAAGAGCAGAGAAGCTCAGATGACAACACACACACGCCGTCATTCTCTGCTCAGGATGCTGATACTCCACCATTATTTAAAAAGCAAACAGTTATACACAGTACTATATTAATGTTCAGAATCTCTTACACAGAACCAACACTCCACTTCTATAACAGGATGCTAAAAACATGTTAGTTAGTGATTTTTAGAGGAGATCTGTTTACCTCTGGGCAGAGCCCGACTAGGTGTTTCCCCTCCGCTTCCAGTCTTTGCGCTAAGCTAACTGTCTTTAGCTTCGCACAAACGGTCAGAGGTAAGAGTGGTTATCAATCGTCGCATCCAACTCTCGGCAAGAAAGCAAATGAACGTATTTTCGTCTGAAACTACAGGAAATCTCATCTACTCTACTCCCGTCTCCCTGTTCGCATTGCACTACTCGATCCTGGTCCAACGTACTCTTCGTTGCTCGACTGAAACAAACAGATGAGATACAGGCAGGGGAAACAGACAAAGACGGGAACTGACTTGAAGGTCTGCAGCAGCTGGTCGCTGGGGGCCGTCCTCAACCCGGCCACCATGCTCTGCAGCCGGCTCACACTCTGCGTCGCTGAAGAGACGGGCGTGACGAGCAGGTCCTTCTCTTTCAGGTAGACTCGACCCGTCAGAGGGGTGGAGGGAGCGAGAGAGCCGGACTGCACAGAGAGAGAGAGAGATTGTTTCTGAGTGAGCGTGTGTTTATACCATCTGTGCGCCTCTGTAAAGTACATTGTGTGTGTAACAAACAGACAGGTTCAGTTTACCGTTCACCAAATGATCGGCGCTCTTTAAGCGCGTTCATGCACAACACTGTATGGACACATTGCCTGTCAAACTTTTGATTTTATTTATGAAGGGTTGCAACCGTACATATTTCTGCCCACATACTGTTGTATGTGGATTGACAATGCATTTGCACAATGCTTTCCTGATCACCTCTGGAGGTGGTCTGGACAATCGGATCACAATCTGTCCTCAGTGCGTCTTGGGTGCATTTACACCTGTACTTTTGTGTGGTCAAACGATATCCGATTGCAATCCGCTCACCCGAAATCCTCCATTGTTGTCCAGATACCTGACGGCTGTAGAAGCACAACCACACTGGATTCTTTCCCTTGAACAGCAGAGGTTTGGCTACATCCTGTAACTCTCCCACAAACACACCAGAGAGCCTCTCCGGGATGCTAGCTTAGCTACCACATAGAAACTTTTTTTTAAAAAAAACACACAAAAATGTGCCTCTAGTGATGGTCAAAGCCCATCGGGACTCTCTGTGTTTCCAGCACGGATACTGAGAGTCTGACAGCTGCTGCTCATGGATGGTTAGCTCTGAGTACCAGCTCCATATGGCTGTTCTTGGCTACGTTCCTTACCTGCAGCCTCACGCAATACGTAGCTATGAGGCTGTCCTGTGCAGTCCTCTGCTGCATTGTTTGAATATGCTGAGAAAGACGGAGCTAGCAGAATTTGGGTGTGTGTAGTAACAGATAAGTGAGCCACACTGAACACACACACTGGAGTTTATTTTGACTCTTGACTGAAAATAGTCCCCAACTGTCCTCCTGTTTGAGTAATGTTTAAAAACTATAGTGGACATTTTCAGGAGCTTTTCAAAAAAAAATTAAAATAGATATGCGAGCTGTTTTAAAGCTTTACATCCTCAGTAGGAACCAATGGGCTTGGAGCTGACATCCTGTCAGTAATCCAGAGACGGACTACCATGTTGTTGGTTTTGGTCTTTTCAAGTTTTTGTATGCTTGTCTATACCTTCTGTACCGGTGGATTTGTGTGTTTGTGTGTACCTTCTCTACATGTTGTTGCAGCTGCTTCTGAGCATTCGTCTGGCTGCCAGACTGTTCCTGAACAATCTTCCTCGGAGTCCCAATTTCCTCGTCGGCGTCGGCATCCAGGAACACTCGCTCATCAAAATCTCCCACCGTCAACACATACTCCTCATACTCCCTGTTTATGGCCTTACTGTACGCAACACACACACACACAGACACAGACGGGCAGTTAAACACAACAATATCTTGCGTTCAAACTTTTAATTCAGCAACATAAACTTGGAGACAGAACTTTACATTTTCCCTCAATGTGACCCTTGACCTCTGATCCCTGATTGGCTTACTTGTTATCAATGAAGTTCTGAGGATCCATCAGTTCAGTCAAATGCTCCTCATTGCCTTTCAGGATCTGGTTGGGAAAAGACATTACGACAAACATTTGTTAACAATGACAGATAGATAAAAAGTAGGATATTATATAGAATAGAATAGAATAAAGTGAGTTTGGAAGGAAGAAAGGAAGGAAGCCATGACACAGGAAACAAACCTGAATGAATATATGCGTGTGTTGTGTGTACCTGTCTATGGAAGAGTTTCTGTATGTAGGGTTTGAAGTAGTGCTGTTTGATGCCTTTCGCTTCCACCACCAGCCCGTCATGTAGCTCGCATAACCTCTCCAACACACACGGAGGAGGCTCGTCCGGTGAAACGTGGCTGTCGATGCGGTACAGAGCAGGCAGACCTGCACACAAACACACAAGCGCATAAGCAAACACACCAGTACACAAATAGGCTACGTATATAAACACGTTTAAAGAGGAATGCTGCCTGCACCGACTGATCTTAATGAGATAACTAACTAGCTGAGGCATATGCACGTCTGTGTGAGTTAAAAAAATCATAAAAGAAATGGAAGGAAACCGGAGAGGCATCTGACAGAAACAGAAGGACCTGGAGCTAAATTGACAGGAACACTGTATACACACACTGATGACATTACATCAGTACACACATTGAATGTTTGAAGCAAATAAACACAGACTGCAGTAACATTCAAGTAAATAACGAGCTGTGCATTCATTCTAAACACAACTATACACGCACACACACGTCAAAGCCTCACCTCTGAACGTTGGGTTGATGAGGTCCTTCCTGTTGGCGCAGAGCAGAGCGTTGCCAAACACCAAGTCCAGACAGCAAAGCAGCAGGTGGTACGAGTTCACAAGGTCATCACCGATCATACGGAAGTTACCTTTACACACACACACGGGTCATGTATCACACAGAGGTAATCTGCAGTATAACAAGATACAACTACAATGAAGAACACTGGTTCCAGATTCTCACATGTGAGGATTGTGTGAATATTTTTCTAACAATTTATAGACAATTTACAGCAGAGGCTTAAAGATGTTTTCAAAGCTGCCAGCAAAACATCACAGAGCTTGTAGCTCCTCAGCGGTCTGGATTTGTTTCTTTGTACCTTTAGTGTAGACAAACAGAGTCCAGCAGAACTTGAACACATCACTGATGTGACATGGCAGTCGCCTGCAGAGCCAAAGAGAGGACACACACTCCTGTTAGACTGGGCTGGGTGTCAGTGTGTGTGTGTGTGTGTTTGCTTGTCTCTCCATAAGCAGCAATCACAGAAAAGATAACTCAATATGACAGACAGAATAAAATCTTTGCACTTGTGTTTGCCAAGGATGGCAGTGTGTGCGTCGTGCCTGTGTTTCCTGCTGCGTGGCTGCCGTGGCGGCTCGGCTCCCTGCGGGTTCTGAAACATGTCCATGAAGATGGGCTCAAACTTGCGGAAGATCACAGTGGAAACCTCAAAGTTTCGCTCCAGTCGCTCCATGCGCAGCCTGAAGTCGTGCGGGAGGTTGGACATGTCGGCCCACTTCCTCATCTTAGAGAAGAACTGGATCAGACTGGGAGGACGGGGAGAGAAGTTTTAGAAGTAACTCACAAAAGCCAAAGCCTTACATCTAAAAAAAAAAAAGATATAAACAAAGTATCTGTAGCTCCAGAAATACATATTTAAATTCTTTAAAACTAATTGGAGGTCTTCAAGGTCATGATAAAGACAGAAAGCCAGATGTTTGTGAATCAGAGGTCTAAAATAAACTAAGAAAGCTCAAAAATATTTTATGATGCAAACAGAATGCATTAAATCCTTAATAATGCAGCTCAGTCAGTTAGAGGCATTTAGCTCAGACAGTCAATAACTTGTTATGCCATGTAACTGAAGTGAAGCATTTCCAACCAGGGACAGAAAAGCATCGAGTCAAATCACTACATAAAATAAACCCAAAATCCCAAATATACTGCAATTTCTCAAAACAGAATATAATGTGAAATAATATATAATTTATTACTCAGCTTTACTAACACAAACATTCTCATTGAATGGTTAAAAACTAACTTACTCAAAATTAAGACATTGTCATCCTTTTGATATCTTTGGATGACTTGGGGTGATGATGGTGCAGTGGATAGGACGCATGCCTTTGTTGTGACAGACCCGGGTTCAACTCCCAACTGTGACACCCACCATTGTCTCCCGGAGCAAGACACTTAACCTCTATTGCTCCAGAGGCGTGCGACCTCTGACAGGTATAGCAATTGTAAGTTGCTTTGGATAAAAGCGTCAGCTAAATTAAGTAATGTAATGAAAATAAAGCCAGTGCTTTAAAAAACTTCCCTGCTGGATGCAAATCGTTATCTGTGATCTTTCTCAACTCACACTTTTTGCTAGACAGAAAAATTCATCAGTTAACAGATCAGAGGGGGAACATTTAGTAGTGAAGCTGTAATTACAACCGTTTCCATGTACTTTTAATACAGCTTTAGTTTGTAGTTTATGACCCAGTTCTTTTAAAGTTTTTGTTATACTTCAGTTACTCAACTTAAATCTTCAACTTTCAGTTCAATTAAAGAACATGTTCACATGCCAAGCAATTCTTAATACAATACTAACATACTCGTATGTGAATTGAAGGATCCTAAATGTTACAACACCAACTAAATCCCTTAAAGGTTTACATGGTACACGCTGTGATCTGCTACATATGTTTGTGTTTACATTGTCAGGCACTGCAGAGGTACTGACCTGAGTTTGGCCGTGCGAAGGATCCTGGTGAGAGAGACACAGTTTCCTTCCATCAAGCCTTTACCCACTGTGGGAGTGGATCCCTTCCTGCAGGCTGCATACAGCGAACAGGCCAACCAGTGGACCACCTCTCCCTGCACAAACACAGCAACACGTGTACCCAAACGTTACATGTTATCTTCATTCTGCATGAACAGAAAGCTCACCAGTCACTTATCCACTTCCAGCACACAAACAAACTTATGCACATCAACAAGATCATGAAAATATGCACAAAAACACTGTGAATGTGTCAAGAACACAACATAACGTGTAGTTGAAATTTTACCGGTTTTGTTTCTACATGTTCCCACTTGCACTCTTACTTTTAAGGTTTTATTTAACGACTGAAAAAGCTGATTATTTTTAATGAGGCTGGTGACGGACACAAAATGACACTATTGACCCTGTGAGTCATAATTCTGTAGCATTTGACTGACAGCTACAGAAAACCTTCAACAAACAGATCATTATAAAACCTAGGAGACCGCACAACCATCCACACCAGGGAGCACAAACATTATTTTTCACTTGGTTTTAGCTGAAACCATTCAGTCAATTTACTGATTATACCAGCTTCTTAAATGCCAGTATTTTTTTTGCATTTCTCTGTTTTATGCAACTACAAATTAAATTTGTTTGGGTTTTAAACTGGTGATTGGACAAGTTACGAGCAGTCTGAATTAGGTATTGCCGAATGTTCGGTCACCAAAAATAGCTCTTTTGGTGTTCGGCCTAATACGTCAAAAGGCCTAAGAAATTTACTGAACAATTACGTTGACATGTCTGCAGCGTGGAAGCATTTTAAACTGTCCGAGAAAGACTCACCGTTTGCAGACACTGTTGTGCAGAATTGTCTTTTAGCACATCTACTCCATCTGTGGCTGACTTCTTAGAAAAGGCAACAAACGGTCTGACCCACTTTGAGTGTTCCTCTCACTCGTTTCTGATAAGGCGATTAAGCTAGACGCACCAACATTTGGAGTGCACAAGTATTCAAGCCTTTATGGTAACTGAAATGGCCCAGTGCGAGCTGACAGGCAGGTTTGCGCCTTTATCCTGTCAATTTCTCTTTTTACAAAAACATGTGTTGCAGTATGAGAGTCCTACCTGAAGAGAGGCTGTGAAGTCTTCATGTTACACGATACGTGAACCACATACAACATTATTTATCAAATTGGGTCGGACTTGATGAATTTAGTGCGAGGATACACGTCTGGTTTTTGCCCAGTTTTCAAAATAAGGAGTCTATACAGTATGGAAATAAGATTAATTAGATTATATTCACATAAAGTATAAAACATATTACGTGTCCATTCAAAGTAAATGGACACATGTAATTTACTTTACCGGACCCTCTCGGGCCTCAGACCCAACCACCATAGTCTCTCCAAATCCTGTGGGAAACACTGAGTAAAATGCACATTTTGACTATTTAATTTATGCAATGGTAAAAAAAGACATATGAAAGGAAATATTTAAATGTACTTGTTTGCTGTTCAGCAATTTTTTCGGTGCATCCCTAATCTGATTGTGTCGTATTTCTACATTTTATAGCTTAATTAATCAACAGTAAGGGAAATGGCCTGAACCTTAATCTATAATCGAAACATCAGCAGTCCTACACTGTCTTCTTTTAAAACCCCTTAATCACCACACAATAGGCAATCTGACCAGTATCTTATCTGACTTTGTTTGCAACACGAACCCTTACTGTAAGTGGTATTGGCTTCAGTTACATAATAAATTAAATGTATTAATTCTTAATGAAAGCAGCTTTTTCTTCTGCCACATAGTAACTAATGAATTATGACAATTAAAACAGATAAATGTCACTTTGTAGAATGACATAAGACCAAAGCAGCTGTTAGCTGAGTGGATAAATTAAGTGGCATGTGACGTTAAGTGCCATTTAGCCAGCGAGGCGGCTGCTACTTCTCCCTCTTATCCTTCACTGTGGAGCTAAGTCATAATTACACATCTGTAAAGTCACTTGAATCCCTGCGTTCAATAACAATGAAGTAATCACTGGTTCAGGTTTGGACATAGGGGCGAATGCAGACAAACAAGTTGTCTTGTCACAACATGTCAGTTAACCAAAACAACAGTGCCGCACAAACACCTGATCGACACTATGTCTGAAGCTGATGGGAGAATTTAGATGTCAAAGTTAATATCACTTATATAAATTCAGTGGACATTTTATTAGGTGTAACTTTCTTTTGAAAGTACATCTGAAACAATTAGATGATTAGGATGATTGACAGGAAACTATTCTCACACTAATTTAATAATTGTTTACATCCGTATTAAGCAAGAAAGTCAATCATTCTCTGCTCCAACTTCTTGTCTGTGAGGATTTTCTGCTTTTAACTGAATATATTTGGGTTTTCTGCTCCTAGTTGGACCAAACAACACATTACTTTGGAAGAGTTTATGGCCATTTTCCCCACTATGACATTTCTGACATTTTAAAGACCAAACAATGCACAGATTAATCAATAATGATGATAAGTTGCAGCCCTATCTGAAAGTGTATTATTGTTTATATTAGAAGATGCTTTCTCTCTCTCATTGAAATGTGAATATGTGACTGTTTCTTCAGCTGTCGGTCAAAATAAGACTGTGGTGGAAGAAGTACTTAAGTAGAAGTAGCAATACACCAGTACAGAAATAATCTGGTACAAGTAAAAGTACTCACTGTGTACAATGGCCCATTTCAGAATAAAGTACATTTTATTACTGGATTATATTATTGATCGCTTTAACGTTGTAGTAAAGGTGGAGCTAATTGTTATTACTTTATATACTGTCTGCCAGGGAGGCTAGCTTGTGATTTATACTTTGTGTAATTAATCTGAATCTGCAAAGCAACTAGTTTTCAAATAAGTATAATGAAGACAATAAAACTCCACCTCTGAAGTGTAACATTAGTGGAGTAGAAGTATAAAATAGCAGAAAATGGACAAAATGTTACTCAAGTAAAGCACATAAAGTAAATGCACCACTGTGAAGTAAACAATCTTAAATAACCATGTTGGGCTCTCGGGGTGGGGGGGCTGCAGACAATCTAGATACTTTACCGTGTATATAGTATACCGCATATAAGACTAAACGTTATTAAGTAGGTGAATCTAAATAATAAAAATCTGAAAGAGTCTTCAGTTGAAGCCCTTTAACCCAGTGTCTGTGTCCTACACTCAGTTTAGTTCTGCAAGGAGTTAGAGGAGAGGTTACTTACCTCTAGTGTAACGTTATGTATTTTACATCTAGTGTATTTTACCTCCAGTGTGTACTTTTGTATTTTACCTCCAGTGTGTATGTATTCCATATGGCAGTGAAGTTCTCCATGGCTTCAGTGGCAGTTTGCTCGTCCATGTTCAGCTCCTGACACAACGTCTCCAGACTCCTCCGGACGGAGCTCTCCTCCATCCTCCCCGACTCAGAATCCGACGACTCTTCGCCCCGCATTCGTACAAACTTACTGTTACAGTTTCCGCCAAGTTTAAAACCCCCCCTAGAGTTGAAATCTAAACACGAAAACACGTCGCCCACCCACCTACACGCATCGAAACAACAACAGCTTTCCCCACGACCGGCGGACTTCCGCTAAACCGTCCCCACAATGCAGCGCGTTGGCGCGAAAACTACTGAACGTCGACCAATCAGACGCGAGGGAAGCGTCGGGCCCCAACCCCCTTCCCCACGCGCTTCTCCTCCTGCTCTCGTGCTTCTTCTTCCTTTACAAAGCAACCTGCAAAAAAAAACAACAATAATCTTACTTTTGTTGACTTTCTTACAGTCAAATAGGCTTTTTTTCCCTCTGAACTTTACTCGTATCACAATAAAACTTCACAAACTAAATGTCTAGTCTACATAAATAGAAGCTATTTTATTTATTTTTTAATATGCAAATGAGGTATTTACTCAATAAGTGTGCGCTAATTAATTCTCATATCACACAAATTCATTTATCAGCACATTGAAAAGTCAGATGGGTATTTTTTTTATTTAATTGTGACCACTTTATTTTTTATTATGTTCTTATGCAAATTAGGTATTTCCTCAACGCAAATTTGTAGTTATTCTGCTATATTTTTATATTTAGTCAATTTATATATTTATAAAAATACAAATCCTCTCCCCCTGTATTAATGTCAGCACAACACCGACCCATGCACATGTAAATATCTGGCACATTGTTCTTTCTTTTATTATTATTTTATAACTTGCATGTGTTTATTCCATATTAATGTGTTTTTACATTTATTTATGTCAACTGTATGTTTGTCTACGTGTGTAGCAACTTATCACCAAATCAAATTCCTTGTACTTGGAAAATACTACTTGGAAAAAAAGCTCTTTCTGATTCTGACTCTGAAATATGCGCTAATTTGCATATCACAGATACAGATAAAATAAAGAAATTTAAAAAATAAATCCTACCGACTGTGGACATCCCCTGAATTTTCCTCTAGCGCCAATCTTTGGTTATTTAGGGAAAATGCAGGTACAATGTAGTCATGCATCATTTGCATTGTGAGGGTTTCTCAACTGATCAAATTGAAAATATTATATCCCTAACATCCGTGTTTAATTTCTGGTTTTAGTCTATTGAGAGTGGATTCCCAATCTAAATTCCTATCTGATCCACATGTGAGATTTCTATATACTGTATGTAGATGGGTAGAAAGTCTTCTCAAACAGCATTTGGATTTGTCAAACTTTCTCAGATGGAGCAGAAACTTGCGACTGAAGTTATTTTAACGTTACCCTGAATCTAAGACTACTCTGGAAGCTTCATAAAAGTATTGTAAAAGTACATTACAGTAGCTGTAGCATTTCCACACTGTTCCTTGTTGAAGTGCACATAGATAAAACAACCACTAGAGGGAAGTGCTCAGCCATAATGCAACAGTGAGCACTCCACCCATAATGTGACCTTATTGCTTCTGAGCACTGCCGTTATTTAAACAATTTATATATGCAGTAGTTTCTATATAAAAAAGAAACTGCAAGATTGATCATTTATTATGTGCATTCTCACATACTGTATATGCACAAATGCACACTTTGTGTAATGTGATTAAATTCACCCACCATCACTAAGGTATATTCTGTATTCATGCCATTAATTCAGGATCTTAGCTTGTTGTTAAAGATATGTTGAAAAGCAAAACAAATGTTAATCATATCAAATAGATATATATTGGTAACAGGTCCAAATACAATTTAAATCATACAAACAAGCATGTGCAAAAACATAAAGATTTCACCGTAAGTGTTAATTACTTATACTTTTTAATACTAGGCTATATTTCATTTGTATGCTTTATTTTGAAATTCAAATGAGCAAGTTCTCTGCAGACCTTTCTCTAAAAAGGTTTTAAGGAAGCAGGAAGGAAAAACTCTCCAAAACCTATTTGTTCATGTTCATTTTATTTGTGAAAGCAACAGCAGACAAAGAAAGTTAAACCTAAACACCACATCTGTAGATGAAGACTACTAGTTCATTTGAAAGACCTTCAGAGTATAAAACTGAGCAGGCAAACAAAACTGTTTTGGATACATAAAGCACAGCTAAGCACACCTGTAGCAGGACATCCCCAAAATTGTTTTTAAGACTACAGTATTTTATCATTTCTATAATCTCACTACAATAGAAAATACTACAGCATGCTTCAGTGTTTGTTAGAAGACTAGACCTGACAGACTATAAACACATTTAAATCCTTCTATGCTGTAAACTATATTAGAAACAAAAATTCTCAGCACTATTTGACTTAATTTTACACGTTTCATTGTATAGATTATTAAATGTTTTGTTCTAAAGTAAAAAGTTAGTAATCCAGTGCCCCACCTGCACCCTCAGAGATCTTGATAGAGATATTCTTTGTGTGTGCGTGTGTGTGTGTGTGTGTGTGTGTGTGTGTGTGTGTGTGTGTGTGTGTGTGTGTGTGTGTGTAGTGGTACATGCATGCAGTGGTGGAGGAAGATACTTAAAAGTACTAATACCACACTGTAAAAATACTTGATTTTAAGTAAAAATCCTGCGTTGAAAAGTAAACTTTAAGCAAAAGTGTGTAAGTATAATCAGGTAAATTTACTTAAAGTATTAAAAGTAAAAGTACTCAGTGCAGTAAAATGTCCCTTGTGACTGTTATACTATTATATATTCTCTCATCAGTTTATTATTAATCATGCATTAACGTAAAAGCAGAATTTTACTGCTGTAGTTATTGAGGTTAAGCTTATTTAGAACTATTTTGTATCAGACTGCAACTAATGATTATTTTAATTGTAGATTCATCTGCTGACAGTTTTCTCCATTAACAGATTGATTGTTTGGTTTGTAAAAATTCTGATAAAAGTGAGAAATGCTGTCACAGTTATTACCGAGAGCCCAAAGTGACACCTTCACAATGCAACATTATTAACAATACATTCAAACAGCAAATCTCCACAGTTGTAAAGCTAAAACCATGAAATGCTTGTACAGATTTAAACAATCAAAATATGTATTTTATTTATTTTATGAGCTCTTCATATGTTTTGTGTGCAAAAATTCTTAATTTGTTTAGTAACTACAACTAAAGCTGTCAAACATATTGCAGTGCAATAAAAAGTATGTTTTCCTCTGAAATGTGGTAGAGTAAAAGTACAAAGCAGAAAAGCAAAAAACTCAAGTAATGTACAAGTACCAAAAGTTTGTACTTCAGTACAGTACTTGAGTATCATTCCACCACTGCCTGCATGCTGTGTGTGTGTGTGTGTGTGTGTGTCTCCTCTCAGTGAGTGAAGTATCTGCTGTTGTCTCTGGTCTCAGTTGTCTTTATCAGCAGTTTTGGAGCAGGAGAGCTGGTGTTACTGTGGTAGCCATTATTACTTTTAGTACCTGGAGAGAAGATGAGAGAAACAGAAAAAACAAACAAGGAAATTAAATGTATTTTTTTAAATTACGTTTAAATTGTAGGGGCCATACCATAAAAAAATGCATGAAGACAATAAAATTCACCTGGAACAACACATGAATGGCTTTTAAACTAATTTAGAACATGAGGTAGTGGTGCAATGCAGCCTCTTGTGGCCGAAATAAGTATTACAACAACAAACACAAAAATCTTGCTCACCTGCTAAAACCTTTTTTTCACTGTTCATAAGTCACATGTCTCTCAGGGCTTCTTTAGAAACTTGTCACAATTTAAAAAAAGGGAGCTTCCAAGGATGAACAGTAAATAAGTATAATGCGCAGCATCATTTAACCTTAGTGTATTATTCATTTCATGCACCAGATTTACTTGGTGTGTACTTGATTGTCCTTGTCCAATAATGCACTATTAAAACAAAAAGGCTTGCTTTAGATAGTTTTTTTGAACATCAAATTATGATAAAGGGAGAGGAGGATGACTAGCTGTGTTTGTGACTTACTATAGTTGGAGATGGACTGGATGTTGAGGATGGACTGCTGTCCAATCCTGCAGCAGAAGAAACAGTTAGAGTTCAAGATAGTTAACGTCGTACTGAAGGACATAATCACACCTCCCGTTCCCTTCTTCTCCCCTCCTCTCACCTGTCCTCCTCTCCTTCCAGCAGCTTCCTGTAGGTGGCGATCTCAATGTCCAGAGCCAGTTTCAGGTTCATCAGGTCCTGCAGGTGAAAAACAAAGTGACCCTCATGATTTTTTAGACCAATTTGACACCTAACTGACTGATAAAATAAACATAAACCTCAGCTCTACATGTTAAAGTCATTCTCATGTTGCACTATTTTACATTGAACTGATCTGCTATGCTGGTCTTCTTCTTTTAAATGTTACCATACCATTATCTGTCATTTGCACTACCTTCATCCCCACTACTACCTAATGTCCTTTTTGCACTATGACTTACAAATTACTCTGATAATGTACATATTGTACATGTTTTTTGTGTGTATTTGTATACGTAACTGCATATCTTAATTGTAAATAGGATTTACTTTTTTTAGTTCTTGCTTTAGTGCTAGTTTTATATACTTATATTATATTGCATATGTTTGTTTTATTCTATCTTTTTATTTCTATGTGTTATTTCCAGCATGAAAGAGTCTATTATCCTGCATAATGATAATAATGCTCTGACACCCACGCACGTCTCTCTCACTCACCTGAAACTCTCGAAGCTGTCTGGCCATGTCTTGTTTGGCTCTCTGCAGTGCGTCCTCCAGGTCTCTGGTCCGGGCTTTGGCTTCTTTCACAGCCAGCTCTCCACGCTCCTCTGACTCAGCCAGCTGGTTCTCCAGGCTGCCTCGCTGAGGCGGGATAGGGACATAGAAATCATCCAATGCTGATCTCAAATGATCTAGAAAAGTGCATTCTACCGGGCTGAATATTTCCTGCAGCCGTACCTGCGCTTTGACAGCCTCTATCTCGCTCTGCAGTCGGCTGATCAGTCGGTTGACCTCGCCCACTTCTCCCTTCACAACGCGGAGCTCGTCTCCATACTGGCTGGCCTGCACCGACATTTGGTCGAACTACAGACAGAGGAAGGTCAATATTAGCTGCATCGCTGCCTTGTCTCTTTGATATGGGGCCACAAAAGAGATTTATTTTATTATCTTCAAACAATTATAGTTTAATTTTGATATTTCTCAAAGTGAGAAAATACGTGTTTTTGCAATCTTGGGTGAACTGATCCAGATCCTTCAAGTGTTTAAACTCCAACTAGTTTAATTAACTAAGTACATGTACTCAAATACAGTACTTAAGTACTGTATTTGAGCTACTTGAATATTTTCTAATTTATGCCACTTTATACTTCTACTTCACTACATTTATTTAACACTAAAAGTTTCAAGTTACTTTCATACTAAGATTTGAAAAAAATATATAATAAGATCAGTTTATAAAAAATGATGCAGTGTTATAGATGAATCTACCCAGCAGTACATGAAGTAGTTAAAATTCACTCCACCTCAACCCACAACAGTAAAATGCATATATATATCACTAATAATATAAAATAACACTTGCAATTCTGCATAATAAGTGATACTGGTGAAGCTCAGCAAACTGCTGCTGGAGTGACCAAGAACATGCTCTCTGCACATGTTAACTGTCAATAATTTGATATGAGCTTAAACATGACTACAGATAGATGTTAAAATGTCTGTATAACCAGATCTCAATTATTCACAAGATAGGATATAAAAAAAATATTCAGGCCACATGAAACAATACTGGAAGATAAGAGCAGAGACAGATAGGATGGCTGCAGCTGCTAATGGAAAATGGGAGGTATCTGGGCTTAAAGAAAGATTAGACAGAAGCTGAAACTTGTCCAAAACCCCACAGATAAAATGGGTTGGGTAAGGATGAGAATAAGAAGACACTTAATAACTGTCACTAGATGCGGGGAGAGTAGAGAAAACTGCAGAGTTATCAGAACAGTGGTTAATGACCCTAAACACACATACTGAATATCAATAATAGCACATGAATAAATTGGGAAGACATATATGTTATAGTTATCAGTGTGAGGGGCCAGAAATACATACACACACTGAAGTTCTGGAGTATATATGTGTGTATTACGTTTGATTTTCAGTTATGTTCTGTGATGTGGAAATAAAGTCTAACCAAGTGGCTTAAAGTTGTCTATCTGCCTCTCATCTTTGTGTTTTGTCTGACTGAAAGTTAGAGTACTGACTAAAGAAATCTTTCACAACACTCAATATCTTTTCTTTTGCACCTTCAGACGGATTGTCAACGTGTCCAGTTTCCTCGTCCTTACTTTGTTCTTGTACCAGGCCTCTGCCTCCTCTCGGCTGCGGGCTGCGATATCCTCGTACTGGGCTTTGACCTCAGCGACAATCTGCTCCATGTTCAGGCTGCGACTGTTGTCCATTTGCACCACCACCGAGGTGTCTTTGATGCTGGCCTGCAGCTCACGCAGCTCCTGGTCAGGGAGCACGAAACAAAATATAAGTGAGACAGACACAGAATATACCATCATGTATATGTATTTAATATGTTGAGACTACATAGGATTTAAATAAGTTATATTTTTGAATTTTAGTTCAAAAACCCTCTGGGCAACATGGATATTGTTGAGTGGTTCTTTCTTTAGCAGTTACAAAGTTATGTTGGATACACTGACTTTTAAGATAAAAAAAATTCATATTGACATATTATAATCATGAACAAAAAGGAACTAAAATACTATTAAATGTCTTTTTAGATTCATCTTAAACTATCCAACTATCTTAACTATCACTCATTCAAGAGCTTATTGGCTCACCACTGAACTGATGAAGACTTTAAAAATATTTTTTTTACATGAAATATATAAAATTGTTATCAGTTTGTTGTTGTTTGGCAATTACAGATAGATAGATAGATAGATAGATCGATGGTTTGGATGTGGACAGAAATAGGGCTGCAGTGCCTTCAACTAGCAATTATTTTCATGATCGACTAGTCTGACACTTTCCCCCCCAATGCATCATTGGGTCTATTAAAAAAAAACAGCACAAAAAAACTAAAAATATTCAGTTTACTACAATGTAGAACAAGGAGAAGAAGCGAATTCTTACATTTCAGAACCTGGAACCACCAAATGTTTGGCAATTATTGCTAATATGAGTAGTGGAGTAGTAGTGGATAGTTGCAACTAAGTGTTGGTTTACTAGTCAGAAGAATTTATAACAAAGGTAGGGCAATGCTACAGTGGTAAAGAGAAGTAAACATACTTTAACTTGATAAAACAAGTACAGATACAAAAAACATGCATGCAAATAAAGAAAAAATCTTCATCATTTAGCCATCACGTGTTGCATTTGGAAGACAACATTTCAAATGGGTAAAAAACAAGAACATTTAAAATATTAATCAATTTGATGACCCAAAAGAAAAAGGATCTTGATTGTCTGATATAAAAACATCAGCAGAATCAGTTAGTGTTTATAGTGGACTCTCCAATGACACAAAGACTGAAAAAAATAAACCAAAGGAAAGTGTGACAGAGTAAAAAGAACTAACTGGATACCAGAAGGAACAAGTGAACAAATAAAGAAATACAGGAAGATGGCTGTTTTGATAAATCTTAAATGTTTTCACCACCTCAATGTTTCAAAGCCTGAAATCATCCAATACCTCCTCATAGATGTTGCGCAGGAAGTTGATTTCATCAGTCAGAGCTCCCACCTTATCCTCCAGATCTGCCTTCACCAGGTAGGCCGAGTCTACATCCTGAACACACACAGACAAACAAATACCATACACAGAGATTAAACAAGACAAAAGCATCTACAGACATGCTAGCTGCTCTGAGAGGCAGTGGTTTGAGCAAAATGCTAATGCTAGCATAGCAGCTGGGTCACAAAGACAATGCTAACAAGCTGATGTTTAGGGGACATACTGTAATGTTTACTATGTTCACTACCTTAGTTTATCGTGTCAGCCTGCTAACATATGCTAATTAGCACTTGAGACAAAGAACAGTTGAGCCTTCATTAGTTCTGCAGGTGTTTGGTCAAAAAGTTCTGACAAATTAAGACTCTGATCTGAAGATGGCGCTAGACAAAAAGTTTGGGGATCACCAAAATAATTATTGTATTTCAGCCTGGGCTGAGTGACCGACATGCTGCTACCCTGGCTAAAAACACTGAGAGAAAAGTTGTGTAAAACCTGCATGTGCTAATGAACACGTTTAGTCTTTCTGTTGCAGCCTCACAGTGTCATGTTGGGACAAAACAAAAGACACAACAGACAAGAAAGAGAATGAGACAAAGGCCCCTTTCACACGTGAAACCAGCAACACTTTAGGGCTCAGTTGTCTGTACAAGTTTGTGGCTTCGTATTTCACTCAGCCCTGGGTGGCAGGAGCAACATCCAGTGAATCCCCCCCCCCAAACAGCCATACATAGTGTATTGAAAATAAATTTGGATGAATTAAAATCCAGACAATGTGCGTCCCATAGAGAGCAGCAGGAAGACACATTTAGTCAGCAAGCTTCAAATTCTGCCATGTCACTAAATGTACCGTTAAGTTTTAGGTTGTAGGTTAAATCTTTGGTAATTTGTAATCAATCTACCCCTTGGTTTTGGATCTGTCCAGAGTGGTGCTGTGCTTTGTTCATGATTGCAATGACAATGCACTCTTAAACTAAAAGGCACTAAACTAAAACAAGGGAACAAGGAAACGTCAGGGGATCATCAAAGTCATAGGATTCATCTTCTGGTTACCATGAATATCTATGCAAAATGTTGTGCCAGTCAGAAGATATTTCTCAATTTGCTTGTGACGCTACAAGAAAACATAGTAGATCACCAAATAGGATTTATCCTCTAGGGAACAAGAACATCTGAACCAAATTTCATAACAATCCATCAAATAGTTGCTGAGATATTTCAGCCTTGACCAAAATGGTGAACCGACCACCAGACTGACAGACACTGCCATCCTTAGAGCCATGGCTAAAAATAATCCAACAGCAAAGATGATTTTTGAAAATCCTTCAAGGATCTGAGTTGGAAAATTGCCAAAGTGTCTTATTTAGTTATATAGTTTATGGGTTTGATCCATGTGGGAATGCGGAGTGGTCGGACAATAAGGACAAAGGAAAAGGACATAGACTGGTTCATCTTACTCACCACACCTGTTAATGTATGAATGAATGTGTCTCTGTGTGTGTATGCTGACCTTCTTTAGGATAACAAAGTCATTCTCCAGGTTGTTTCTCTTGTTAATCTCGTCTTCATATCTGCAACAGGCACAGGTCACAAATAATTTAAACTTGGATATTACAGAACACAAATGTACTAATCTCAGTACCACAGTGACATTATTTACTTGTGCTTGTAGTCCTCCACCAGACCCTGCATGTTCCTCAGCTCTCCGTCCAGTTTGATCTTGTCGTTGTTGACCACGTCCATCTGGCGCCTGAGACCTGCCATGTAGGCCTCAAACATGGGCTCCACGTTGGATCTGGCCAACCCTTGGCCCTGCAGCAGCTCCAGTTTGGTCTCAAGCATCTTATTCTGCTGCTCCAGGAAACGTACCTGAATGAAGCCGAGGGGCAAATATGAGAAAGAAATTGTAGTCAAAGGGTTTGTATAGTTTGTATGTATAACTTTTATGGCACAATACATCTCATAAATTTTATGTTGAGGTCATTTTTGTGTATTTCAATCGTAAAGCTATAAAGATAAGTCAATTAATCAGTCGACAGCAACTGTTTTGATAATTGAAAACGCCCCATTCTCCTACTTCCAGCATGTTAAAGGTGAATATTTACTGGTTTTCCTTTTAGTCTTCTCTGCTAGTAAATTGAATATCTTTGGACTGTTGATTGAACAAAACAAACAATTTGAAGATGACGTCTTCAGTTATGGGAATTAGCATTGCCATTTTATAGACCAAATGATGAATCAATTTATCAAGAAAATACTTGGTATGTTAATCAGTAAGGAAATAGTTATTGAATAATGTCCTTCCTTGGAAACACAGAGGTTAAAGAAACAGCACCATTCCAGCTGATAAGCAACTCGCTCTGAATGTCAACACCTGACTGGACTCAGAGCCTGTATCCGCACGGCTCATGTTTCCAGCCTGCGGCCGGGTGTATCCGCCACCTATTATACCTCCTGCCTCCAACACAAAGCCTGTGTTCTGTTCAGAGCAGAATAATCTCCCTCTGTGACACAACCACACCGTGTCTGACCTGATTCATCAGGTTACAACCCGAGTCAATGGGATGGAAATGGGACAGATAGCTTAAATATCCAGTGGCTAAATACCACTGGTTCAGGGTTTAAATGGCTGTTTAAATCCTAGAGGCATCCACTGAATTATTGGCTCTGTTTTAAGGCTTCGAGTCCCTGTGTTTTCATTAACTGTTTCAGGTGTAGCTGGGGATAGTTTCTGCATTAATCACCATCAACACAATGCTATCACATTTCCCTTTGATCTTGGGTAATTAATATATTTTAACTGGGTTAGTATCATGCAACAAATAATACTTTGTCTGCCTCTTCCATCAGACAAATTACTTCTCTGCATGAGGGAAAGCAGCTCTTTAATGTTTCAGTGCTGCTGGGGCCCGTCGGGGTTAGATTACACAAGTAATTGCAGGGTCAGATTATTCATGAGTGGACTCGACTTTGCCTTTCAGTGATTTTCTCATTTGTGAATGCATGGCTGAAGAGTATGAGAAGGGGTTTCACTGCCACAATGTCCAAACTTCTGGTCAAAATCTAGAGGGAGTGCAGCATACTTGAATTTAATTGATTTTCTCCTAAATGTAGCGGCACCAAACAGATTCCAGGTTTGAATTTATGTAAATAAATCAGCAATACAATCTTGGATCACTAAACATAGAGCAAACAAACTGTAATAGATTAAATAAAGAGCCCGGGTTGAGGTCAACCTACCTCTCCTGCAGAAAAGAGCTCATACAAATCCAAGAAGAGCAAACAAAGTCTCTTTTGTGTGCTACCCGTTATCTGGGAAGTCACATCAACAATCTCATTTACAGAGACGGATGGACAAGCTTTCAAATGTTTACTGGAATGTTTCACAATATTTTGTCTTAGAATACTGAAACTGATATCGTGAGGAACTTTTTCAGCAACATTTACCAAAATTTTGTACTTTTTTGTATGTATGTTTTTGTTCTTATATTGCTTCGCTTACAACAAAGCAAAATCACACTTCTGAATCAGTCTGAAATAGATTATAACAGCCTCGAGATCAATTTAAATATTTTTGTGAACAATGTTTGTTGTAACAGTGTTACTTATTAAAAAACTGTCATCTCTCTCATTTATTTAGATTAATTTATTTTATTTCATTCAAATAATTCTTATCTGTTTTCTTACACTGTAGTCTGTCTCTGTGCTGCTAAAACATGAAGACCATATCTGAACTTAGTGCAGAACTTTTCACTCTTTTTTGCACAGTGAAGTTAAAGGTCAGCATATATTCCTCTAAACATGACACAGCATGAGTATAATGACCATAGGACATGTCAAAGACTTGAACCAACCTTCTAGATCAATACTATGTCAGCATATGATTGACTCAAAAAAGCTAGGTTAGTGTTGTACTCTGGCACTCTGTCTCTGTATGCCTCAAGCGTATCTCTACGGATGTGAGAAGCCAACAATGTCTCTTTTGTGCGAGTGTGTTACCTACTCCGTGAGAAAGCGGAGATGGTCCCTAAGTACAGTATCAATGTCCATCATTATCACAGAACTGGTCACTCTTTCTGTGGGAAATGTCTGCAGGCAGTGTTCTTCAAGAACCTCAACACAGCTACTTATCAGATTTACTTCCCTACTTAACACCTAGTATTTCACTTTTTTACTACTAGCCTAATGTCTAAAAAACATGTGATTGGAAAAATAAAAATGTAAACGTAATGTAAAATGTCCGTCAAACTCTATTAGCTCATTCAGGCTCTTATGTATGAGATTAGCATGTGTTATTATTGTGACCTCGTAAAAGTCTTCATTAAGGAACCTGCAGCTTATCTCGGCTTTACAGAACATCATAGAGTTTCAGCTCATTGTTTACCTGTCTGGTTATGGCTTTACTGTTTTTAAAGCTGTAAAAAGCAACTGTACACTACATGCTCAGCAAACAACAGACTGAAACAGTTAGACAGCAGCTGGTGAACATAGTGGAGCATTTAGCAGCTAAAGAGCCAAATATTTGCCTCAGGAGGTGGTGGAGACCAAACACAGAGCTAAAACACAAGTGGACTTTAATCTACAATAATACTACAGAGAAAACCAACAAATTCTTACATTTTATAGTTTTTTTGCTTGTAAAATTGTGCAAGTGATTTATCAGTATTTAAAATAGTTTCTGTAATTGACTAATCGACCAACAGCTTCAGATCTCGTCTCTTTACCTTATCTATGAAGCTTGCAAAGCGGTTGTTGAGGCTTTTGATCTGCTCCTTCTCATGGGCTCGGCTCATGGACAGGCTGGGGTCGATCTCCAGGTTCAGGGGGGCCAGCAGGCTTTTATTGACCGACAGGGATGCCAGTGGGGCGCCAACGCCTTGGTGATGCCCGTTGGTTCCCGCGTAGAGAGAGCTGCTGCTCAGAGAGATGCCGCTGAAACCCCCCTGAACTGGACCGAAACCGCTCAGCCTCCTCGACCCACTGCTGCTCCGCACGGAGTTACTGGAGCTGATTCGCTTGGTACGACTCAGGCTCATGGTGGAGGCAGAGACGGTGGGATGCAGAGATGAATAGAGAGTGAGAGGCGGTGTGACAAAAAGATGGAGATATGAATGAATGGAGCAAGGGTGGGATTGAAAGGAAGCAGGTGGTGGAAAGACGAAACAGCTGGAAGAAGATATTAGGAAGAGACGAGGGAAACAAGAGAAGAAGAAAAAAGCTGTTTACAATGAAATGCAGGTTAATAGGAAGATGAATAAACTGAACAAAGACAGAAGACCTGCAGAAAACAGGCTGCGCTGAGCAGAGAGTGAATGACTGAGTTGCAAAGAGAAGTGACACAGGTGAGTATAAGATGTCTGACCACCGTGAGGCATCTCAGGTGTCTCTGGCCTTTTAATCCTCCCCAGGGTGGAGTCATGAGAGGAGGGGAGGACTGGAGCACAAGAGGGCTGTCGTGTCAGATATCTAGTGTTTCAGATTTTAAGGGGAAATGTAAATAAGTGTTGCCTGTAAAAGCAAGTGCTGAAGATGGGCATGTCTCTGCTAAAGAGCCAGAAAAGGTCAAAATGAAACATCTAATTCACAGCCTAAGCACTAAATGAACCTTAACTACATTGGAGACCTGTCATCAAACAGCTGACTTGTACCTGATCTACATGTGTTACTTCTTTGTAATGGCATGGGAGGCCTGTTTAAGTATGGACGTTAGTGTGCATTGGGCTGTATTAAGAGTGATACTCAACATTTACGAAGTTTGGGAGGTGCAAGTCTTTTTTTTAGCCTTTATGAAACCAAAAATACAAAAGCAAAAATGTAAGAAATGTTAGGTTTAACTGCTCTAATGTAAAGCTCATTTTGGTAGGTGGGTAGTGTAATATTTTGTCACACTGTAACACTTTAAAGAGTGGAATTAAATTTCCACAAAAAACTCCCTTCTGCTATGTAGCAGACAATATACATTAATATGGAAGCAATTGTAAAAATGGTAAACAGAAAAAAACACAATGGAGCAGTGCTGAGGATGAATTTGAGCTTAGGAGTCTGATAGCTTGAGAGAAAAAGCTGCTCTGCAGTCTGGTGGTGTGGCAGCCTAAACTTCTATATCTCTTCCCAGAAGGGTGAGCAGGCTGTGGCTGGGTGGGTACTGTCCTTTAGTAACCTTTGGGCTCTACGTAGACACCTCACCTCACGGATTTCACTGAATCTCGAGAGATGGGTACCAATGATCTTCTGAGCAGTTTTAATCACCCGCTGCAGAGCCCTCTGGTCCTGGGCCGTGCACATCCCATGAGTGATATTTCCAGTCAGGATCCTTTCTATTGCTCCTCTGTCAACAGACATGTCTGTCTGGCTAACAAGCTTACGGTAATAACTGAGCATTACACAATACACAAGTGAAGATAACCAGGTACTGAGTCGGAGCCACAAGATTTTTAGTGAGCAAAGACAATACAGCTGCTTTAAGATGAAGCAAACACTTCCTACATATGCATTAAATTGAGATTAAGGCTTCAACTGAATTATAGTGAAATTATTTTATGATCCATTTTATTACTGCATTAAAACTCCACACCAATGACATTAACTCTTATTTCTTTTGGTTTGTACTATTGTCCCTCACAGGGCACTCATTACAATAGCTCCGAATTTCACATCTTCATGTTTCAGTTCTCTGGTTTCAGGTCATGTGAGATCAAATTAACCCTTCGATGTCTCAGCAAACATGACAGATCATCTTGATGCGTTTTCTGTCTATAGGTCATCTGTAGATGCTGCTAAAATGCTTCCTGCATGAGTTAAAGTAATGTCAACACAGAGAGGAAGAAGTTCTTCCTTATTGTGCACTTACTCAGAACAACAAAAGGCAAATTCACACAAGGAACGTGCAAAATGTCACAGTGACACATTAATGACTTTATTAAAATACTGAGGGAGACATTAACAGTGAACACACATCAAACATGTCCACTTCCAGCAAAAGAAAATGTTTGTCATCAAAGTTGGCATATTAAGTAACTTTTTTAAATAAGTCTCTTTATCTTTTAAACCATGTGTTGAATCATTCAACAAACAAACAAACGATATAAAGTGTTTGTAGTAGAACAACTGAGATATTTTGGATCAAAAGTCTGTAATATATGTAAATGATCAGCAGATCGCTGATATCTGTAACGTCACTTAAACATCGGTGAACAGAGTGAACGTAGTATTTTACCCCACTGGTCTTTAACAAAACCCTAACTGTTCAAGGCCATAAACGGTCCAGTTATGAAAATGCAGGTCTGAACAGTACAGGGAGAAAAAGTCAATGTTTAGGATTGGTGAGTGGATTGAAGCTCTGTCTAAACCGTAGTGTTTTCTGAAATGAAGCCAATTATTAATTGTATTGGTGATGATTGGGTTGTTGGGACGTTTTGGAGGCTACTACAGGAAGCTGGGAGTAAATTATAGAGTGCAATCACCTTCCACCAAATATTTGCTGGTCTTCATGGCTCCACACACACACGTCAAAATAATAAAAACAGAACAATTCAAAATGACATAATATCAATAAAAAATGAGGCAACAAACAACATGAATATAATCATCCTCTTTATCTCTAACTGCTCTGTTCCACTGTCACAGAGATCTTCAGTGGTGATATCTTCAGTTTATCCATGGTGAAAATGTACGGAAACATCCTCTCAGTGAAAGTGTGTGTGAAGGTGTGTATGTGTGTGTTAGTATCAGGATCAGAGAACGACAGCTCTCCTCTGTTCCAGTCCAGATTCACTCTGATCCTCTGGGGCTTCGTCTGCACTTGGAGAACTGTGCATGAAGCCGGTGAGTGTGCTGAATATTTATATACATCAAACCTTAATGTCCATAGTCCAGGCAGTGCGTATCCTGTCCTCTGGAAAGACTCTTCTAACACACCCAGTGACCATCCTGCACTGTCTCCAACCTCGACATCCCAGCTGTGAGTCCCTGAGTTGAAGCCCTCAGAGCCCAGGGCACAGCAGAAATCATCAAAACTCTCTGGATTGACAAGAAGCTGATGTCTCTCATCTCCCCTCACACTGGTCAGATCTTCTGACAGGATGAGTGTTGGATAAACAGTCTTTGGATCCAGAATCAGAGGAGTGTAGGAGACCACGTCCTTCATCTTGTTCCAGATGTTGAAGGTCAGGTTGCCCAGGTGTTTGGCCTGGTCTATCAGAGCTCCTGAGGGCAGCTGTGGATCATCCAGCAGGGGGCGCTGCTGGACTCTTTCCACTGCAGCTTTGTAGCTGAGCAGGAATGAGACGTCTTCAGCTCTCAGCTCCTCCTCTGTGGCTCTGACTGTGTCTGAAAGAGCTGCTATCTCTCTGCTCAGAGCCTCCATCTTCTCCTTCATCATCTGACTCTTCTGCTCCTCTTCCTCCCTCAGTGCAGCCATCCTGGCCTCCTCTTCCTCATATAGAAACTGGTGAAGCTTCTTAAACTGCTCCTTAATCTGCCTCTCTGTGTGTCGGGCCTGGACCTTAATGTGTTCTGCTGTTTGATCAAACTTCACTTTAACTTGTTCACAAACCTTTAACTTCTTCTTTACAGGCTCCAGAGTTTCCTGAAGTTCCTTCTTGTGTTGTCGTGCAGCTTCATCGATGGGTCTGAATCTGTGGTTGCTGTGTTTTTCTGAATCTCTGCAGATGAGACACACTGGCTGCTGATGGTCCAGACAGAAGAGTTTGAGTTTCTCAGAGTGCAGACTGCAGATACCCTCGGAAGCTCCTCGATCTCTCTCCAGCAAAAAGGCCTCACACAGGTTCTTTAACACCAGGTTACAAGGTGGTTTATCCCTTGAAGATACAGTCTTACAAACTGGACACTCCCGTGATTGCTTCTCTCTCCACCATCTCCTCAGACAGCCTTTACAGAAGCTGTGGCTACACGACAGAAGAACAGGATCTCTGAAGACGTCCTGACAGACCGGACAGCAGAGATCGTCCGCTAATCTGGAAGCCATTTTGTCAGTGAAGCTGAAAATACAGCAGACAGAAAATACAGTCAGTCAAGGCCATCAAGATAAATACATAGTGGCTACATTGGCCGCCATATTGGCCCTGGCAACTTTTCCATTACTCTGGGCTGAAAAAACAGATGCCTGACTCGCGCAGCTTGTTATACTATATATCCACTTAGAGGTGTGTGATATGAATTGTCTCCGATAATAATATTATTGTATTAACCATATGTGAGCATACATTATCAAGTGAGGTACATCACTGTCTTTGTTAAAAAAAAAAAAAAAACTTGTCCACATGAAAGTGGTTTGGCTTGACAAAAATTAGTTTTAGTTAAAGACCACAAACTAACCACTAGGGCTGGGCTGATAGACGATGCCATCGTCCATCGGCGATGGCTGACAGATGGGCGATGGTTGAGCAGGCATCGTGATTGTAAAACAAGCAAAAGAAATCTACGTTTTTCACATTAAACCAGCAGGTTTTAATCACCAGGAACATAATTATTATATATTTTAAATATGCTTCGGACCTTCCTCAGAATTACTATGAACCTATGATACACAAGAAGCCTACACCTCAGGTAAACACACCGGCATGCCCCGCCTCTCTCTGTGCCCCCCCCCGCCTGTCTACTCCACTTGCTCCATCAGCAGCACGTTTTATAAAGTCTAACCCTAACACTAAAAGACACAGAACTCTTCTTTTTTCTGCATTTTTCCACCCACGATCCCGGCGCTTGTGGGCTTGTTAATTACGCAGCCTATCAAACACCCGAAACGAACATCTGCACCCTGTATCCAGCGCTTTACCTGGTCTGTGCTTGTAAAATACTTCACCTTATTGTATTGATGGTCTATTGACAATAATAATGTGCTTTACTATAATATATATTGTTGTACTACAACATCTCACTTTACTCTATATTACACTTTTATTCCATCAGTTCGAAATGTACCATATTTTTATCCGTTTTGCCACCACTAAGTCACATTAAACAAAGTACAACACTGGGCGCATGTGCTGTAAGTTTGAGTTTAATGAGTGTTGTATAGTTAAAATTTTTATCTGTATTGTATTATTATATCTATGTGTACTCATTCAGTACTTGAGAACTGTGTAACACCTGAATTTACCCTCTATATATGTATACTTGCTGCTAGAAAAATGTAGAAAGCGGGCTGACTGCTAGTGTCCCACTATTTGGTGCGTGTTTGCCAAATTAGAAATTACAAGTTTGTGACCTGCAGCACAAAAAAAGCTACAATGTTGGATAGAAAAAGTAATTTCCACAATGTAGAAACCTTTCTGCACATTTCATAGACATATTGTGAAGTATGCCTGATAAACGTGTGTCTATTACAATGCTTTGTGATAATGAATTATTTTCCACCAGCGAATTAATTCAGTCCATGTAAGCAGCCTTAAGTTTTTACCATATACTGTATAAAAACATACTCCTCATATTAAAGCGTCAAGCAGCGAATATTTCTTAACTATAGAGATTCTAAGTCAGTGGTTCTCAAACTTCTTCATGTCAAGGAACACGAAAATGTGACAAATTAGACCACGGACCCCCATTTCATAAGATTTTGTCCCACTATTTCCAATCTGATAGGATTATGGGTTTTAGATGTTTTATTACAGGACATGTATGAAATCCATGACCAAAATAGTCATACATTGTGTCACTGTGTTACTCATGGACGGTGAAATTAAATTATTCCCCTTTTTGCTGGGGACCTCCGGGACCCTCTCAAGGACCCGTGCGGGTCCCCGAACCGCACTTTGAGAATCACTGTTCTAAGTAACTGAACACAAAACGTATTTTTATACTCCACGTAGATTACAAACCTTTTAAAATGAAAACGACTCATCTGTTTTACACTATTTGTTATGGTGCTTTTTATCCATTAAAACTGCAGCTCCCCGTTTCTCTTTTTATCTGTTTGCTCGGCCCAATATGGCGGCCGCGTTAACAAAGTATCGCTGCAACGGCCCGGAGCGAACAACACAGCGTCTTCCCCTCCCTCCTCTACGAAGTTACAACAAACTAACTTTTAGTGAAACTCACGTTCAGTGCGTGAAATCTCATCAAGTTGAAGCAGCAATGCTGCGATTTCCCTCCACGTTTCTCTCCTGTAGCTGAATTCACTCGAAGGAAGATGTTGTTGTTGTTGTTCTTCTGTTTTAATGGCGGGTCGCAACGGTCCATACCGCCACCTACTGTAACGGAGACTGTAGCATGACTTGTGGCCAAGAAACTTGTGGTTAGATGAGACTACTTCACATCATAATTTTAATTTAAAACAAAACAACATCATATAATATGACCTTATGTCCTTCAGGTATTCCACAACAGCTTTCTGTGTCCTTTACCGCATCTCTTCTTGTTCCCAACATCCTCAAGGTTTCATTTTCTTTCTGCCTTATCCTTTGATTTAGGCCTGATCATCTCCTCCCCATATTTCCTACAATGTCACAATATACGTTCTACATTTTCTGTGATTTTACATTCCAACCATTCATTCAATCAACAACAACAACTGTATGACTGTATGTTTGTCTACGTGTAGCACCTTTTCACCACAGCAAATTCCTCAAATGTGTAAAACGCTACTTGGCAATAAGGTCCGTTGATTGACTTTTAAATAACAAAAACAATGTTTTATTCACCTCTGTGTGGTAATTTTTATGAATTGAAACATATACAAGAATCATAACAATAACATTGCAAAACATACATATGGGATAGAAACGTACATATAGGGACAAAACAAAACAAAACAAAACAAAAGTTGGGGGCAAATATATCGCAGAAAATTTAATTTCTTTCTCATAGATTATAAGTGTTTCTTTTGTGTTTGCAAATTTACATTTGTGTATATTAAATTTATCCAAAAGCAACATAATGTTGATTAGGAAATAATGTTCAAAATTGTTTTACATAAACACAATGCCAAAACATATGCAAAGCAGTTTTTGTATGAGTCTCACAGAAGGTAAAGTTAGATTCAATGTCATTGTCAAACCTCTTGTAATGCTTGAGGTAGAATCTGAAAAATCTCAAGGATACTTCCTTAACCTTATTAACACAATTTTCTCCAGCACACATGATTAACAAACTGGTTCCAGTAAGTAGTGACATAAGGTATAGGTACTAGTTCGGTATTAGTCTTCTTCTTCTTCACGTTTTGTGATGTGTCTGATATGTGTTAATTTTGAACCACGTAAATGAATCTGATGATTTGGATGGATGAATGTTTAGTATCAATATTTTAGATGAAACTCTGTGTAAACCGTAGTGTTTCTGAACTAAATCCAAATCTTATAGTGCTACAGGAAGCTGGGAACACATTACAGAGTGCAATAAGCTTCTTCTTCGAAGTGGTTCCTGATCTTCATGTCTCCACGCACACAAACGAAAATTATAAAAAGACAAAATGACACAGTATCAAATAAAAAGGCTTAATAAACCAAACATGGAGATTTGAATCACAGTGAATAATTATTAAACTAAACTAAAAACTGAAAAACAAATAAACATGTCTTTTGGATGATGACACAACAAGAGGAGCAGCTAAGCTCAGAGACTTTAGTTGGGACTGGACTGTCCCCTTTAAGAAAGTAACATCGTGGTTATAATCATCCTCTTCATCTCTACCTGCTCTGTTCCACTGTCACACAGACCTTCAGTGGTGATATCTTCAGTTCATCCCCAGTGAAAATAAATGGAAACATCCTCTCAGTAAAGGTGTGTGTGAAGGTGTGTATGTGTGTGTTAGTATCAGGATCAGAGAACGACAGTTTTCCTCTGTTCCAGTCCAGATTCACTCTGATCCTCTGGAACTTTGTCTGCACACTGAGATCAGTGGATGAACCTGGTAGTGACCGTGCTGAGTATTTACCCCTATGCAACCCTATTCTCCATAATCCAGACTGTATGTCTCCCGTCCTCTGGACAGACTCTGCTAACACACCCAGTGACCACCCTGTACTGTCTCCAACCTCGACATCCCAGCTGTGAGTCCCTGAGTTGAAGCCCTCAGAGCCCAGAACAGACCAGTATTCATCAAACCTCTCTGGATTGTCTGGAAGCTGCTCTCTCTCCCCTCAAGCTGGTCAGATCTTCAGACAGGATGAGTTCTTGATAAACAGTGTTTGGATCCAGAATCAAAGAAGTGTAGGAGACCATGTCCTTCATCTTGTTCCAGATGTTGAAGGTCAGGTTGCCCAGGTGTTTGGCCTGGTCTATCAGAGCTCCAGAGAGCAGCTGTCCCTCATCCAGCAGGGGGCGCTGCTGGACTTTCCACTGCAGCTTTGTAGTTGAGCCAATGAACAGGAACCAATCTTTGGTTCCTCAGATGCTACCCGGAAGCGGACAGTTTTTGACCACACACGTGCACACCTTCACAGTACACAGCCACACATGTACAATGAAGTTTATCTGGAGAACAATGGAAATGGATGAAAATAAATTGAAACCAATGTTTTTAACTGCAAACATGACTTGAACTTTAATTAATGACACATGGTAAAAAGCCATTTACTGAACCCCTGAACAGCACAACAGGGACTAAAGCTTGGGCTTAAGCCTCTACAACACCGTTTTACGAAGTTCACAAAACTCCATGATGTTTTTAAGGGAGTCTTGGGCAAATTATGGTGCGATCAGTTATACTAGCAAGTCTAAATTTCTTTCATTTGATTTGATTATTTAATGCTTGCTAGTTTCAAAACCAGAAGACAACAAACAAATATGACGACAGGTTCATTTCATCTAAAATATTAAAAGATTTTATTGTTTACATAATTGTGTTAACACACTAGATTCTGTTGATAATCAAGCATTTTTCTAGGACTGTATATGAATTGAAGCATATTCCTATAATCTCAGAGACACAACAGTTAAAATTAAGCATTTTTCCCTGGGCAGCTGTCAGAAGCATGTTATTTAGATCCTCATCAGCTTCTGCAAAGTAGTTGCTGGTCATGACGCAACACACACACACACACACACACAATCAAAATAATAAATAAACAAACTTCAGTGACTTTAAGACGTAAGCATCTTGAATATAATCATCTTTTTTATTTCTACCTGCTATTCCAATGTCACACAGACCTTCAGCTGTGATATTTTCAGTTCATCCCCAGTGAATATAAATGGAAACATCCTCTCAGTGAAAGTGTGTGTGAAGGTGTGTATGTGTGTGTTAGTATCAGGATCAGAGAACGACAGTTTTCCTCTGTTCCAGTCCAGATTCACTCTGATCCTCTCGGGCTTCTTCTGCACTCTGAGAACAGAAAGTGGACCTGGTAGTGAACGCGCAGAGTATTTACCTTCATCAAACCCTATTACCCATAATCCAGACTGTATGTCTCCCTTCCTCTGGACAGACTCTGCTAACACACCCAGTGACCACCCTGTACTGTCTCCAACCTCGACATCCCAGCTGTGAGTCCCTGAGTTGAAGCCCTCAGAGCCCAGAACAGACCAGTATTCATCAAACCTCTCTGGATTGTCAGGAAGCTGCTGTCTCTCTCCTGGTTTCACGCTGGTCAGATCTTCAGACAGGATGAGTTCTTGATAAACAGTGTTTGGGTCCATTATCAGAGGAGTGTAGGAGACCACGTCCTTCATCTTGTTCCAGATGTTGAAGGTCAGGTTGCCCAGGTGTTTGGCCTGGTCTATCAGAGCTCCTGAGGGCAGCTGTCCCTCATCCAGCAGGGGGCGCTGCTGGACTCTTTCCACTGCAGCTTTGTAGCTGAGCAGGAATGAGACGTCTTCAGCTCTCAGCTCTCCTCTGTGGCTCTGACTGTGTCTGAAAGACCTGCTATCTCTCTGCTCAGAGCCTCCATCTTCTCCTTCATCATCTGACTCTTCTGCTCCTCTTCCTCCCTCAGTGCAGCCTCCTGGCCTCCTCTTCCTCATATAGAAACTGGTGAAGCTTCTTAAACTGCTCCTTAATCTGCCTCTCTGTGAGTCGGGCCTGGACCTTAATGTGTTCTGCTGTTTGGTCAAACTTCACTTTAACTTGTTCACAAACCTTTAACTTCTCCTTTAAGGGCTCCAGAGTTTCCTGAAGTTCCTTCTTGTGTTGTCGTGCAGCTTCATCGATGGGTCTGAATCTGTGGTTGCTGTGTATTTCTGAATCTCTACAAACGACACACACTGGCTGCTGATGGTCCAGACAGAAGAGTTTGAGTTTTTCAGAGTGCAGACTGCAGAGAGCCTCTGAAGCTCTCTGATCTCTCTCCAACAAGAAGGCCTCACACAGGTTCCTTAACACCAGGTTACAAGGTGGATCTGCTCTTGAAGACATCGCCTTACAAACTGGACACTCACGCAATTGTTTGTGTCTCCACCAGTTCATCAGACAGCCTTTACAGAAGCTGTGGCTGCATGACAGAACAACAGGATCTCTAAAGATGTCATGGCAGACTGGACAGCAGAGCTCCTCCTCAGATCTGGAAGCCATTTAGTCTCTGAGAGAAGCAGAAAACACAGTAGACTGACAGTACAGTCATTCATGGCCATAGAGATAATTACATTGGCCACTGGATCATCGGCCATCATCGCCACCCATTCCTCCTCTACTGACTTTTAAATTGGGTCCAGTTTTTAGTCAGACTCACCTTCAGTGTGTGGAGCGTCAGCAGGTTGAAGCAGCAGTGTTGTAGTTTTCCACTTTTCTCTGCTGTAGCTGAACTCACTCAGAGGAAGCTGTTAGCTTGGTCAGAAAGTGAGATGTCTATTTTTCAGGCTGTTCGTCTCTTTAGCAAGGAAAGAGAACAAACTGTTTCCTTGTTTGTCTCTGATCATGTGAGGGTGGAGCTTTGTCAGACCTCCTCTGCTGACCGCTGTTGCGTCACATGCAACACAGGGGTGTGTTTCTGTCCAAAGTATTGATTCAATGCTGAAAATGTAGACTCATAGTGTGCAGCAGGCTGTTGCCTGAGAACAGAGGTTAACAGAGAGTTGACAACCACTGAATGTACACTTGTAGCTTTTATTTGGGTAAATAAACAAAACAATATTTGATGTAAATAAAAAGACAGAACAATGAATCACAAAGACTCTCTGGACTGGACTGCATATAGCCGGGGAAAAGGATGGATTGTAACACTGAGTGTACTTTTGTTTTGATATTTCTTGTATGCAAAAGATGGTTTGGCTTGATGATGCAAAACATTAGGAGTCATCCTTTGGGAATAAGAAATGTTACGTAATCTGGACATTATTTTTCATGTAAGTTTTGACCTGATGGTGGTGTACAGAAAAGGTCATAAACAATCATCAGATTCTATTCCTAACTGATCAATATTGGCCTCCTTACACCACGAGTGAGGAATAAAACCTCTCAGCACGAGTCTTGTTGGAGTCTCACGGTGTGAGACACTCTGTGACACTAAATACTCACTAAACATACAAGTCAACAATTACACATGTGCCAAGTAGTGGAAGTGCTAGTAAACAAAATGAATATGTGCAGCATAAATTAGTAATAAAACAACACAGGCTTAAATACACATTTTGGCTCTTACAATGCATCAAAAGAGAAATGCATTTCATGATCGAGATAATGTTATTTCAGTGAAGTTCAACATTTTATCACTAGTTTCCACAATGCTATTCATAATCAAACAAGAAAAAAAAATCATTTAAGACTCACTGTTGTACTGCATGGTGCTTTCTAAACCAGTTCATGTCTGCCCTGCTATGTATAGATAAATCCATTTGAATTAATGTGTTTGTTGCACACAGACTAAAGGAGGCAGATATCGAAGAGAAAATGTGCTTCAGGACAGAGACTGCAACCTTGTTAGAGGACAATTCCGCTTGTAAAAACTGAACTCTGAGAGCGAAGATAAACATTACAGTTTCAGTCCACACCCATGAGAGTTTAACAGCTGTCACATAGTCATATCACCCCTGTTAGAAGGCAAACCCTCCATTCAACACTAATCAACTTCAAATAAAGTCTCCACACTTATTAACACTGGAGAGACAGTACTTTACATGTTTATCTGACTCAATAATAGCCATATCCTGAAATTACTATATACTGTATATCATGTGTGATCATGCACACGATATACAGTATATATCACCATTTTATCATTAGTTTTGCACTCTTAGCTGTGTAGCCTATATGTGTCACAGGCTGTCTTTCTGTTCCTCCTCTTTAACCACTTACCTGTTTTTCATAGCCATTTCATTGCCTTTTTCTATTCATCCACCAGATGCCCTGCACTCACCTGTTCGTACTTCTCTTATCAGCCCTGCAGTTACCTGATTTTCCCTGGTTCTTTCAGCCTAACCTGGCTGTTTTGGACCTTGTTACCTGACCATTGGACTTTTAATTCTTTCCTGCTCCTTGTTGGATTTGTTTGCCGTCTCTGGATTGCCTTCTCTAGTTTTCACCCTTGCTTGTCTCCCCATGCTGCAAACCTGTGATCCTCCATTCACCTTCGGGCAACACTCACTTTCACTTTGGAACTTTGATTAATAATTAACTGTGACAAAAATTGCGAACTTGTAGGTTCAAGGATTTGAGTTTTACATAGAAGAGGTTTGTAATATATTAATTCTTATGCAACATTAAAGAAAAAGCATATAAGCATTCATTCAAAAGATTAAAAAAACAAAACACACAAGAAACAAACTAAAATGCACTAAAGAACAAAGGTGTGTGTGCGTGTGAAAGAATGTATGTCTGTTTCTTTGTTTTGCCTCCATATTTCTCAAATGCACCAGCCTGAACACACGTGGTCCGAAGCAAAGAAAGCATGTGAAGCGAAGGCTTTAAGGTTCTTCTCCCAGTGTGCGGTTGTGTTTAAGGCAAATTAAAGTATATTTGGCCAGTACTGTATATATACAAAGACAGTGTCTATGTGGAGCATAGGTTTAAATCCAGAGTTTGGGACTTTTGCATAGAAATTTACATCTGTTACATTCAAGCCGTTGCCAAATGAGTTCACGCAATACGGATTAAGTATATACAAAGTTCTACATTGCAGGTTTAACTAACATGAACTTAGCGGTGTGGTTAAGGTCTTTGTTACACAATAACCTCACAATAACCAGTGAAACGATCACAACAACAAACCTCAGAAAAAACTAATCAATACATGTACACTGATGAAAGTTATACAGTCCTGTACTTAGCCAAGTCCACTGTTACTCTATGCTATGCCTAGTTAAATGTTCAGTGTGTAATATTTCTGAGGATCTATCGACAGAAATGCAATATAAGATCCATAACTATGTTTTCAGTGGTGTGTAAAGGCCTTTCATAATAAACCATTATGTTTTATTACCTTAGAATGAGTCATTTATATCTACATAACCGCAGGCACCCCTTCCATGGACGTCGCCACGTTGCATCGTCATGTTTCTACAGTAGCTGAAAACGGACAAACAGAGCTACGGAGTGTGTTTCGTCACTAAGTTCTTCTTGTTCAACTTTTTTCAGGCAGAGCAGACACTCATCACTATGTTGAATATATACGTTAGAAGAAGTAGTAGTAATAATATACAGCAGGTGTCTGCAAATACGTTTTGCATCGAGCAATATTTTCAACCATGAGAGGGTGGATGAGAATATAAGCCATAATACTAATTTGCATTAAGATGTTATTTGGTTAGCTCAGTCAGTAAGGTGCAGGACTTATCCCACCTTGAGACAAGTTTTTTTTCTCTCTCTCTTTAACAAATGGATTCTGCAGGGAATGTTTCTCAGATCACAGCATGTGCTGCAATGTTATTGTTTTGCTGTTTGATCAGCATCCATCAACCTACGGACGCTTTTGCATTTCCCCAGTATCTCCAGGCAGAGGACATTTAGGGGAATCACGTTCTCTGACGACTCTTTCAGAGGTGTGTCAAGCAGGCTACAGACTCTTTTAATGTCGATCAGAATTTTTCAAAGTAAAAGCTCAGTTGAACTCCAAATACTGCATTACAGTAAACAAGCTTCTCGCACTTATTTTGTAGGCAAAACCACTAATGAGGAAGTGAGTAACTGTTGCTGTGATGAGTGAGATCTCTTTCAGCACCCTCTATCAAAGTATGTCTTTATTTATATTTCATGTTGGCGGACAGTTTTGGCGATGGTCCATTATCACAGAGAGAAGTAATGCGTTTCCCTTGTGAGTGTCTGTATAAACTTTATCTAATGTGTAGTTTTTAATAGACTGTCTACTTGACTGGCTACTCTCTGCTGTCTCAGAAGAGACATCTTTTGTGCTGTGTCAGCCACCGTAGCTGTCGCTCTTTGAAAGGTTAGGGGGCAGTGGTAGACTGGACAAATGGTTGCACTTTACATCCCTCACAACTAGATGCCACTAAATCTTACACACTGAACCTTTAGGTAGGGCTGAATGATTTTGGAAAATAATCTAACTGAGATTTTTTTAAAACAATATTGCGATTGCAATTTAATATGCAATTAATTTTTAAGCTCTTTACCTTCTGTATTATTCAGAATGGACAAGCAGTAAATCAGTGTATAGTCTGACCAACACAATATTAATACATAAACTGTTCTTTCTTGTGGGTCAGGTCTGTGTTATGATGAATTAGGTAGAATTATTATTATGAGCAATAGGGGAGAAGATATATCAAATTAAAATAATATGAGAAAGATAATTTGAGTCAAATTATGGCATTAAATAATGATATAATATCATCAGGTCAGCCTACCTACAGACCACAAGAAAAACTAACTAACCACAGTGTGTTATACAGTAAGCACTAAATAAAAACCCACAGTTCAACCACCAATTAATGAGACCTTATCTCAGTTCTAATCTCCTTGGTGTCCATTTTTCTGTATCCCAGTAAGCAAACAAAAAAAAGTTGGCTAACGAAAAAAAACAAGTGACGCCTCTCGTGTTTAATAGACAAGCTTAGTCTAATTCTCCGACAACACCGGAGTTTCCCCGAACCCTCTGAAGCTGGTGAGCAGCGCACTGGCTGTAACCAGACTGTAACTCGGGACAGACTGGGCCTCTTTCAGACTTGTGCGTTTGGTTTGAAACTGCTGACTAGTGGCTGTGTGTGACGCAGGTGCCGATCGCCACAGTACGCTTACCTTACTACACGTGTCTTTCTGTTGTGCATTTTTCCTGTCCTACGATTGCACCCACCACCACCAGTTACCCGTGGTTGCTACTTTCACTCCCTGTTTGACACTAAAGTTTATGTAGTGTCAGCTTCTGTCAAGCTTAAGGCCATTTTACAACAAGAAGGCAAGTTACAGCGTAACATGTAGACGAAGCATCAACTTCGTCTGCAGACTGCTTTCCTCTTGGGTGTCTTGTGACCAATTCAATTCAATTTCAATTTTTTTTATTTATATAGCGCCAAATCACAACAACAGTTATCTCACAGCGCTTTTCATAAAAGAGCAGGTCTAGACCGTACTCTGTGATGTTATTTACAGAAGCCCAACAGTTCCCACCAAGAGCAGCACTAGGCGACAGAGGCAAGGAAAAACTTCCTTTTAAGAGGCAGAAACCTCGAGCAGAACCATGACTCAGGGTGGGCGGCCATCTGCCTCGACCGGTTGGGGTGAGAGAGAGAGAGAGAGAGAGAGAGATGTAAGGAGAGAGAGAGAGAGAGATGTAAGGAGAGAGAGAGGGGAGGGAGGCAGCCTACACAATATACACACAGAGGTACAGACAGTAAAGGTGATGTTGCTATAGACTAAATGAAAAATGGTACAGATATTTATAATAGTGTTAATGGTAACCATCGTAATGTTAATGATTATAATAACAATAAGACTAGCAAAAATAGTCGTTGCAGCAGA